CAGTCATCTTGATCGAAATCTGGTCACTGGACCCAGATGACTCTGGAGGAGAAAGTGAGGTTGGTGACTTTGCACAGCCCTCCCTCATTCAAATCAAAGTCAATTGGAAGCCATGTCATCATCTTCCTGATGTCATGGTCCTCTTCAAGAATGAAGGACAAACTACAATCACACAAGCTACAGGAGCATTGCTGACTGTAGAGGCTGACCTTGATGGAGACAATACGTATTTGAATCATTAAGTTCTGGTATGTTTGCATGTTGGTTTCAAGTTTATGTGATTCATTTATTTGTATTATTACTCTCTAAATCTCTGTTTCTCTCATAAATATTTGTCAGTTAGGCTACCTATTATTTATATCACTTGGGGTGAAATGAATTGCAAGAATCTCATGAGTATCTGCAGCTACCACACTGGCATTCCTAAAATACAGCTTTGACCACGTCACCCCTTACTCAAAAATCTTCAGTAGCTCCATTTTGCCTATAGAAAAACATATAAAACCTCATGCTAGCATGTAAAATTCTCCACAATCTGGCATCCACCAACATCGCTAGTCTTATTTCTGTTGACATATTGTGTTTTTATATCATCATTTCCAAATATCCCTTCTCCTCACCCCCACTCCTTTACCTAGTAAGTTATCCCTTGTAAGATGGCTAGGGAAGGATGGGGGAAGGGGGATGAGTAAAGTCGGTCAGAAAAAAATCAAAGACTCCTCAATTCCTAAGGATCCTTATTAAGTCACAGAAGAGTCCCCATCTGTTCTGGAGAGAGAGTATACAAGCTCAAAAAAATCAAATTTTTGAAGTATTGAATTCTTTCTGTAAATTATCCGACTAAGAATCTGTCCAGCCCTAGGGCACTAGGCAATTGTTTATTGTTTGGTTATGTTTGTGTAAATGGATCCAGGGGAATGCTAGTAAACGTTTAACAACCATCTGGGGGAAGGGAAGGGGGTGGAGTGTGCAGACAAACTTTTAGGTTTAATCTGCATTAACATTTTCTTAAGTCTAGACGATCAACAAAATGATAAATCAATCCCTGATTTGTGGCAGTGGCTGATTTCCGAGATTAAATAAATTCTCACAATGAAAATTAAGCACTTGGCCTTCACCAAGAGTGGTACAAACTGCTTCCAGCACATCCCTGCTTGGATCATACAACAAACTATCACACACCACAAACATTTATTAAATGCCTGCTGCACACTGTGTGCAAAGCACAGATAGCTTTTGTACCAGCTTCTGAATTTTCAGAGTTTGGGTCTTTGGCCTATGAATCATGTTACCTTTAAATGTTCATTACCTTCCTAAGTCTTTCTTTTTTTGTTTTTTTTTAAAGCTCTTTTACTTTTTTGTGGGGGGAGGGGGGTAAGGCAATTGAGGTTAAGTGACTTGCCCAGGGTCACACAGCTAGTGAGTATCATGTGTCTGAGGCTGGATTTGAACTCAGATCCTTCTGACTCCAAGGCTGGTGCCCTATCCACTGCGCCACCTAGCTACCCCCCTTCTATCTTTTTTTAAATACCATTCCCCTTCACATACTGTACAATCCCTACTTTCCTTCAGAGCTCAGCCAGGTATCTCTTCCTAATGAGGTGCCCCAATTCCCCCACTAATTAATCCTCTGGCATCCTCTTTAAATTACTATGTATTTGCTTATCTGAGGTACGTATCACATCTTCCTAGTAGAATGGAAGCTTTCGGAGGGTAGGGGCTCTTTCTCTCTTTTCCTTGAGCTTAGAACAGTACCTGGCACACAGTAGGTGATTAATACCCATAGGTGATTAATTACCTTCTCATAGGTGATTAGTACTCATAGAACTGAATGTGTACACAATGCCTCTTTTAGTGGAAGGATAAAAACTCCTATTATGTAAGTGCTGAGTAATTCCAGGGTATGCATCATTTCTCAAATGGGCTGAAAGCTCTCTGGTGCTGGTTTGTATTATGTGACCTCTGAGGGTCCATTCCAGTTGAGATTCTGTGTGTATTTCTGTGTTTGAAAAATCCCATTCTCTTTCCCCATCCCCATACACACACCCATGACAGTGTATCCACTCACACATCCATACAGAAGCTAATACTTAGACATGTCTATGTATATATGCCTCTCAACCAATGAAAAGGCCTGGAGAATAACAGCATCTAGAACCAGAAGGCAGCTTAGAGAGCAAGTCCAAATGTTTCATCTTAAAGCTGCCCAGACAAAACTGAGGTCCAGAAAGGGAAAGTAACTGAATCAGGGTCACATAGGTACTTATTTATACATTTCATGATCATAGACTAACAGACTTTTAATCAGAAGGGACATTAAATGTCATTAAATTCAACCCTCTCATTTTATATGTGAAGAAACTGAGGCTTAGAGGTTAAGTGACTTGCCTAGGGTCACCAAACTTGTGTTTGAAACAGAATTTGAATCTGGGTCCTCCTGACTCCCAAGTCCAGTGTTCTAGTCACTATTGCATGCTGCCCTAAGCATGGAAAGATGCAAAGCTGGGATTTGAACTCAAGTCTTCAGATCCCCAATTCAGGGTTCTGTCTTTGAAATCTACATTCCCTCCTTTGTTTGATGTTATCATTCTTATTTTATACACCACCACCACCACCATAAAGGATAGCTGCAAACCTCTTTCAGCAGAGGCCACTAAATCTGTGCAGGAAACTGTGAACTAGGGAATTGTTTCTAAGCTAAATGAAGTGTCTCTGACCCACTTTGGCCAAAATGCAAGTGAGGCTTCTTCCAGATGGCAAGAACTCTTTGTACATGCACGAAAAAACACCACACTCGCCAAGGACAATACAAAGAGGTTATATCAATTTATTTCTCATGTAACAATTGATTAGTTTTGAAAATTTTCCATTTTTAACATTTAATTCCATCTTTCTTCTTTAAAAAAAAATCAGTAAAAGGACAAAACCCACACAAAAAATACAGTCTGTATCTGCTCTATATTTACAGATAACTGGTCACTATTAAGGCACAGATTTAAAACCAACATTTGAATTTATCAATCCCAATGTTTTGTGCATCATGTAACACTGACCACACTGCCCAAGGCAGCATCGTATTCCCTTCGTGGAATCCAAAAGAAGTGAGAAAAATTCATTTCCAGTGTTTTTTGTTGCTCGTTGGGTGGTTGGGTTTTGCACCTCTGTTGACTACTGGAGGGGTCCTGGGGTATCCTTCACTTTGGTATAACTAGCCAAGCCTTAATCTCAAGCCACACAATCTACTAAATACCAGACACATTTCACCTTCTTTCTCTAGCTGCAATGCCTTGTGTTGATGTCACAAAAGAAACAACTTATTTTCCAACTAGGGAGGTCTTGTTCAAAGAGAATGGCAGAATTCAAGAGACTGACTCAGCTAAATCTAAATCTCAACTGGGATTCACTACCTGGTGCAGACAATTGAGCATGACAGGTTTAAATGAATAAAGCAGAAGAAATGCCCAGAATCAGATGTACTTGGAGGAAAAGGCATTCCAATCCCAAATCATGAAGATTTGGCCCCATCCCCGGGTAAGCAGTCTCTCATTTGCAATTATTACTGATTATTCCATGATTACCTCATTATCTATGCCTTCAATAAGGCCACCTTTATTTTTTAAAGTGAAAAGTTTTCTCTGTGTGTGCAAATTTTCTCCTCAATTATCTTTCTTTTCCTTAAAAGTAGGATTTCTCCACGAAAAAGTGTCAAGAAAGTGTTTCTCATCCCATGTTTCCATTAAAAAAAAACACAATAAACTCAACTACTGTAAATGCTTATCTTAATGTCTTCTGCTTAGAGCACTTGACAGTGGTTTATGTCCATTTTTAAAGTTCTGAATATTGACCATAAATAAGGCTTTACAGTACAGGTGAATCCCAAGATTTCCTATGGGAAAGTATTTCTACAAATTTAATGCACGTGGAACCTGACTGGGGAGAGAGAAAGAGAGAGAGAGAGAGAGAGAGAGAGAGAGAGAGAGAGAGAGAGAGGTACATTTGGACTTTTTTTCTTTCATGTAAACCCTTCCAAAGTCTACAAGAGGATGCCTGAAAAGAGACACAGGGAACAGCATTGCCAGGTTCTGTGGACTTTCACAGTATCAGAATGTAATTAGGAGCTCTGACCACAGACATTGTGGCCTTGGGTATTTCGAGCCTAGCCATGGTTGGAAAGGGCCCATCTGAAGACATCCAACTTCCCCTGCCCCAGATGAATCGCAGCCAAACAATGCATGTGATTGGGGGTGCCTCCTCCACTTGTCCGATGCCTCACAGTGGCCTATAGAGTCAGCAGTGGCGGCTGCTTCCCGCTATCACAACATTGGTGCTGTCTTGTCAACTATGATTAGGTATCTGTTTAAACAGGGTTGGATTTGAGCTCCAGTCTCATGAATGCCATTCATTCTCTACCATACGCTTTAGTAGATCTCAATTTCCTCTGTTATGTATGCTAATGCTTATAGTACCTAAAAATAAAAGTCTGATATAAATAAATGTCCTTTAGTGGCAGTATACTAAAAAATAGCCCTTAGCCTTCAGACAACCATTAAAATCATTTCTTTTTGGCAATACAGGCAGCAGTTAAATATGATGACTGCAAAGGATTAATATTGCAAGATCCATTTTGGTCTTTCATCACACTGATTACAGATGAGCAAATTTCAGGGCTAAAGGTTTCTAGGATGCAAAACCTAAATGGACAGAATTGGTCCAGAACCAAGTGAATTTTTTTTTATCACATTCCTCCCTCCCCCCCTCGCCTACCATGAAGTTATAGGACAATATGCATATAGATCATAATCTTGTACCATCAGTGGGAGAAATTTTATCTAGTAGGAGCACACGGCTAAATTTGATTTGGGCCAATATGAGTTGATACGAAAAAATGGGAGGGAGAAAAAAATAATTTCCACAGGACAAGAAATCAGGACATGTAAAGTGCTGAAAGACCTCAATAATTATTTTTAAGCAGTACCAGAAAATTCCAACTTGATAAAAAAAAAACCAAACAACAAAAGAAAAAAACCCAAATCCAAAAACCCACCCCCAAACAAAACACAAAAAAATCCATGCTCTCTGGCATCTCGGATGTCAATTCTTAATCCTTCATTCAAAGTAAAAATTCAGTGCATACATTTTATAGGAAATAAAAAAAACTAAACCCCTCTTATTATTATTATTGCAAATTCTGTCGAATCTATATAAGAAAAAGAAATCCACATTTTGGCGTTCTGAAAGACAACAGACAAATGTTTCTTTTCTTTTTTTGGCACCAAGTACATGTGCAGGCAAAATGCTTTGGTCCTGGTCCCCAATGCCAAAGTGCTGAGGGTGGTGTGCAGTGACAGCTGGTCGGTCACAGGATTCCCGTGTCCAACTCTAGAGTCATCTGTGTGAGAGAGCCAAGGGCTCAGCGCTACCAGCGGCCGCTGACACTAGCAATGTCCGAATGATACTGACGCGGCAGTCTCCCACTGGCTCCTCCTTCCAGAGAAGAGGCACGCGCATTAGGTGGTTCAAAAAGTTTTCGTCGGTTTTTGTTCAGTTCTAGGGAAGAGAAAGAGAAAATGGAAGAAAGGGGAGGGGGGATGGGGAAGAACATGAATGAATTATCAAGAATTGAATCAATATCTAAGGTAGCCTATGAGACCTAGGACAGTCTGTTCTGTAGCATCTCACACTGACACCAGGATCTGTATTTACAGCTCAAGGTCTACTATTAAGGAAGGCAAACTGTTTTGGTTAAAAAATCCACTGCCCAGTTAGAATATAAAGTAGTCCAATTATAATGGCGAAGACTTGGCAACGCAGAGTGGATGCTTGTTAGTTACAGATGCGAAAGCGACTCTCAGAACCCTCTGGAACCCAGAACAACAAATCAAACAGCATCCTCTCCCCACCCCTCCCCACTCATGTCCTTGTAGGAGGAAAGGAAGGCAGCCAAACTTGAAGATATGCATATTTAATAGGGTAGCTGGCACAGATTTCTTGCACGACAGAGGAAATGAGAAACGTTATTAAATTTTTAAAGACCAAGCACGTGATAATATTTGGACGGTTACAGCCCAATATAGAAGGATGAGAAGTAGAAATGCACCCAGCAAAGAGGCAAGTATGGACCTGGAGAGTATACTTATGTGCTCAAACCCCAGACCCGACCCGACCCGTTTCCTCACCCCCATAACTGGTCACAAGAAAATCCTTTTGACTTCAAGCCTCTTTGTCTTCAGAGAAACGACCAATTCAAACAAACAAACAAATGAATAATCACATTGGTAAGACTGTCAATCCCAAGAAAGTTCTTACTCCAAATGAAGCATATCATAATTTTTTCATGAAATGACTTGGACTATTTCTTTATACCCAAAGGTTGGGCCAACTTAATAAATAAATAAAGATACACACACACACACACACACACACACATACAAATATACATGTGTGTACATATGCAGATACATGTGTGTACATATATATGCCTCAAAAGTAGAAAGCCATGAAAAATTGACCTTGTTCCCAAATATCTAGGAGGTGGGGGGAAGACCTGGGATTTCATAAGGCAAGGGGAACTTCCAATGAGAGAATTCCATCGACCAATGCAGGTCCACATCTTCTCTGTCTTCTTAGGAGAACTGCCTGAGGCCCCAAGAGGTTATGTGACTTGCCCAGGGTCACACAGGCTCTGTCAGAGGTGGCTACGCGTTGAGCTTAGAGTTTTCCTGACTCCAAGGTCAGCTCACTGTCCACCCTATGCATCACTGACTCTCATAGGCTCTCATAAATAATAGAGACCAGAAAATAAGGCTTGGGTCTGGAAGGCAGAACTCTTCTGGATGAGGGCTTTTCCCCTCATTATGGTAAAAACTAGTCTCTAAGTCCATGATACCCAACCACCTGAACTCCTTTTAAAGTTTAAAAACATTTCAGTCCCTGTCCCTCTCCCCCTCTTCCCCTGGCCTCCTGGGTGATGGCAGTTGTTCTATGCCCACTGATTGAAGAAACAAATGAGGCTTTTTAAAAAGCTAGTCTGGTTTCAATAACGCTTTAATACAAATTTGTGTTTTATTCATCACAACAGGATGGATGCCCGTTTGAAAAATAGTAACCCTTAACATGTGCAAGACAGGACTTGCTCAGTCAGTAGATGGTAGGTTTGCTAATTTATGAGATTAAGTCACTTAATGAGATGGCTGGGACACATGGATTTGCAGATACTTTGCAATTACTCCTCTGGTCCTCCAGGGGCTTGCGAACCACGGTTGGCGAGACCACTCATAGAGCTCTAGAAAGACGCATATCTGCTACCCTCTTCAAATACAAGTTTTCAGTCTCATCACCCAAACCACAGTCATGGTTAAGCAGGAAAGCTGGCTTAACTAGCTGTTTAACGGGAATGGAATAATACAGATTGCCCAGCAAGATAGTGAGCTCCTCATCAATGGAGATCTTCCAGCCAAAGCTGTAGGAGCACTTGTTGGGGGTGCATTTGAAGGGATTCCTGTTCAAGCAAGGGATGTGCCATCTGACCTCGGGAGTTCTTCCGACCTCTAAGATTCCATGATTCTACAGAAAGGGCCACAGGGGTGTCATTAGTTATAACATCTGCTGTTTGGGGGGATGGACGCTTGATACTGGCAACGTAAGTTCACTTTTTTTAATGTCTCCCCCCAACTCATTACACATAGGATTGACTTCACAGTTAGCATAATTGTAACAACAGTAATAACCCTAGCTCACATTCCTGCAGTAATTTAAGGGCTGTAGAACGTTTAACATACATGATCTCTTCTGATCCTCATGACAATGCTATAAGGTAGCCGCTCTTTGTATTCCCTGCTTAGGGATGAAGAAAATAACTTGCTCAAGATCCCTCAGCTAGGATGGATTTAAACTCAAGTCTTCTTGACTCCAAATCTAACACACACTCTCTCTCTAGCACACCACCCTGCTTCTCTAATAAGTTTTTAGTGTTTGCTGAATGTGCGAATGAATAAAATATACTGTCCTATTTAATTCTCCAAATTACCCTATGAAGGCAGACCAGTTATCTTCATTCTTCCCATTTGACAGAGAGAAAAACCGAGGCTCACAGATATTAGCTGATGACTAGTTTTCCAAAGAGAACCAGGAAAGCCCAAATTTCCTGATATCTACAGAGCCCAGTTCTGTTGACACTATACCATACAGTCTCCAGAATTAAGATAATTATCTCCCAAGGTTTTAGCCCCAAGGAACATGTACTTACATGAATGGCTTCCATTCTATTCTTTGGGGTCAGGGATAGAAAGTGGGTGTTAGGAAAGAGTCAAAGGAGACCATGTAGAGAACATTATTTATATCTTTGTTGGCCAGAATATGACTAATCAGGGGCCCAACGTTGGACAAACCAAGTTTTCACTCTACGTACGATGTCTTGCCACATTTTTCCAGATGGTCCCAAAAACCCCAACTAAGTTTAACTCTGCAGAAACAAAAGGAGGCTGGCAGCATGGTAACAGTGGGGGGCAAAATCAATACATTTGCATCTAAACAACTTGGGTTGGCATCCAGATTCAGCCACTTATTTAACTGTGTGACCTTGACCAAATTACTTAATCTCTCTGGGCCTCGGTTTCCCTGACAGTAAAATGAGGCAGTGGGTCTAGATGACCTCAGAGGTTCCTTGCAGCTCTAAGTCCATGCTCCTCAGAATCTTCAAACCCACTGTCTCTCTCTTATACACCCACCCCCACATACAAACACATGAGGATTTTCTGTTTCTATAGATCTGTGGTGGAAAACGTTCTTTCCAAGAAGCGTAACATTGTCCATGAGAGGAGCGCACTCCCTCCATCAATGAGGTCACAGCTCCTCTCTGACTTCACAGACAGTTCCAAAGGCTAGAGCACTGAGTTGGGAACTCCATCACCCGCTACTGCTAAGTACTTATATTTTATAGAGAGGTCAGAGTTTCAATAGAGTGGTAGCTCCTTGGGGCCCGGGAATTGTTTCCATTTTTTCCTCTTTGTAGCCCCAGCACAGTACCTAGACCATAATAAGCACTTAGTAAATTCTTTCTGATTGGTTAATTCTAATTGATTAATTGGTTCACCAATTTCTGATTGGTTATCAGGACAGCTTTCCTGATAAAAGCAGTATATGTCTATCTGCCTGTACCCCCGCCAAAAAAAAGAAAAAGAAAAGAAACCCCCAGGAGAGAGAACTCCACTGAGGAGCTTTCTCCATGCCACAGGACATTGCGGGTGGCTTCTGGCTCCTTCACTTCTCAGGCTTTCTCAGGCCTCCACTCCCTAGCAGGAGGATAACTTAGGAGCCCAGGAGATGATAGCTACGGCTATGCTCCAAGGAACACGTGGAGAGCAAAGGCTATAAGGCCGAGGTGGATTGTTTCTGCAGTGCTTTCTAGCCTTGATTTTATAGACAGACAGAAAGCAATGGAGGCCAAGACCCCTTCCCCTTGCACTAAACACACTGAGAAGTTCAGGAAGGCAGTGAGATTCAGTACCTATGCTAAGGATATCACCTGAACAAACTACTATTGGCAAGCTTGAGGATACCGCCAGGAAATGCCTCATCCCAAGGGTCTTCGGAGGCACCTGGGCCAAGGGCTGGTGATCCCGTCAAGAAGCTCAGTTACTCTGACGTCCTAAACCCCCCACATGCCAGAAGTAAGAAAAAAACGTAACTGAATAGATTACAACAGATTAAGCCCTAACGATGAACTGTTTTTTCTTTCATTTTAAAAAGCCATTTCTTCCTATTTTTTTTTTGTTTCCAGCAAAGCTGAGGGATAGTTTGGGAGAATACCAACCTTTCATCCTTGTATTTCCAAGGTTCACACAATCCTGGCCGCCCTCAGGATCTTGTTGCGCATCTGACCAGAGTCACAAACTAAAAGAATAGGGCGGGAGATGTTAGATCTAACTGAGGCCTGGGAGTGAAGCCTGCACTTTCGTTGGGTCCCTATAGAGGCAGTGGGCCGCTTGCTACCAACGTCTTAAATAGTGGACAGAATTTCAGTTTCACAAGGAAACTGAGCTGGGTTACAATGATGCCACCATGGCTTTCATTCTCTGACACCCCTTCTAGATGTCGATTTTCTTTGCCTTTAATTAACATGCTAAAAGAAAAGCCTTCTGTTCCCAATTCTTTGGTAACCTGGTACGCTATTTAGAGCTAGAAAGGACCTTTTAGGTCTAACAGCCCAACCCTCTTTTTACAGAAGAGGAAACTGAGGCTAAGAGAAATGTCTTTCCCAAAACCACACAGCACAGGTGAAGTTTGAGTCCCAGGCCCCCAGCACAGCTCTGTCTTCCCTCTGCACCACCCTCCATCCACCCTGCTCTCTACCTACAAGGTCAAAGTGGAAATATCTTCTTGCCACTCTAAAACAAGTTGAAACAGTCCTTTGAGGCATTTTAACTGCCATCTTTCATCTCAGAGTAATCCAATTGGCCAAAGAAGCCTTCTGAATTCTGGCTTCTCGGGGAAGCTCTGATGTCAGGTGACAAAAGGAGCCGCTAAGTTTGTTTCTGAGTTCTCCAAACAAGTCACTTCAAGAAAGCGTCTTCCTCACACTATCAGTGCATTCAAAAAGAGTGTGTTACTCAAAGCCCTCTACACCCTTCAGAAGCTGATGAGCACTTTAGAATGTCCCCGTGGAGCTAGATCACACAGGAGCTGATCGCCCTCTCCAGTGCCATCCAAAAGCCAAGGTCTTTCCCCAATCAGTCTCTTTGGGGAAAGACAAAAAATACTTCCATGGACCCATGACCAGTTTGAGGGCACAGTGACCACTGAGGAAAGGATCCCACAAGCTGCAGAGTCTTTGCCAGGGAGCTCTTCACTAAATTAAGTGATGACTTTTCCTTGGCATTTATTGTGAGCAGAAACTCCAAACACTTTCTGAACCCCTCATCAACAAGAAGAATTTAGTACAGCCCCATGCTCCTCTGGATTATGCCATCGGACAGCTGGGCCCTGCCAACATATGAGAAGCAGCAGAGATGTGATACGTATTTAGTTTCATTGACTTTCAAGGAGTGATCAAGCTTGCCTTCCAAAGTCGTAAGAGGTGGGAACTGGGCATTCATTCCATTACTCAGCTCATTTCTGTTCAGGGGCTCCTCTCAGGGGCTCATTATATTTATTCCAAACCACAAAAGAAGTTAAAAAAAAAGAAAGAAAGAAAACTGTCTACAGTCAAACAGGATTTTTCAAGAGAAGAGTCCGAGGGTTTTGTGCGATGCTCTCCCTCCCCAATAAAATGAGAATACCGTTTAGACAAGACTGATGTCCTTCTTAGCAGGTGCTGATTAGTTTATGACACATAATGGAAGGATCACAAGCTTTCAGAGGAATACAGATATAGTTCAAAGGGACCTTAGGGAGCAGTTAGTACAATCATCTCATTTTACAGAGCAGGAAACTGAGGCCCAGGGTGCTAAAAGGACTTGTCTAACCTCCCAAAACTAGGGAGTGGCAGAGCCAAGATTAGGACCCAGATATTCCAACTCCCAGCCCAGTACTCATTGTCTTTAGATCACAGATCTAGAGTGAAGAAGATCTCTCAGCCATCTAGCCCAACCTCCTAATTTTATAGCTGAGGAAAATGAGGCCCAAGGTTAAGTGACTTGTCCAACATCACAAAGCTAGTATCAGAATCAGAATTGGAACCCACGTCCTTTGACTCCCTCCACAGCTTAACCCTCAAGCCTTTTACTACCTGATGCTAATCCATTTTAAGTAGCTAGGTTTATAGAGATGCATCAACTCCCCTATGTTCATTACAGATCCATCAATACAGCACCTAACACAAAGCAGGCACTTTGTCATAGTTGGTGAATTGAATTACTAAAATGCCTTGGTGACCTTTTCTAGCCATCAACAGTGGAAGCTGTGACCGACTGGTTTAGGCTGGTGATCATTCTAAGACGACACACCAAGATCAACATTTTCAAGAAGATGATGGTTCCCTCTCTTCAGCGTTTTGAAAAAGAATTGATGGTCCCCTCTGAAACAGCTTTCCTCAGTTTTTTTTCCTTCCTCTCTTTGGAAGGGAAGGAACTCCTAGGTAGATAGTTACAGACAAAGAAGTTTCACTCACCTGAAACTTTCATGGGGAAATATTGAAAAAGTGACCCCTTCATTTTTCTCTGACTCAACACTTTATATTCCTTCAACCCTTTCTTACATTCTCCAGATGCATTTACAGACTCTAGACTCACCATCTTATCCCATTCCACCCACTCCCTGGAGACTTTTCAAGTCAATGAAACAGCCAGTATATCCTCTGCAGTCTTGGTGAAGGCCAGACACAATTCTCTACAGTAACATTCCAAAGATTCTCATGGGATATGTCTGAGACACATTGTCTTCTTTCTTTCTGGTGACCACCTAGTGGACACCACACCCCTCCTGTGATTCACATGGTCTTGTGATGCTGTACCTTAGAATCCTAAATCCCAAAGCTTTCATCTCTGTCAAGTCCCAAGACATAACAATGACCTTTTCCTAAGTTCTCTGAAGACAACAGCCTCTATTCAATTAGATTGAGTACCCAGATCTGAAGCCTATTGTCTATAAGGAAACCTATGTTTCTTAAGTCACTGCCCAGGACACAAAACAGCAACCAGGAAAACGTTAACAGTCAAACTTTCCTGTACCTACCATTTCCATGCATCAAAAACCCCTCTCCTTTTTAGCTATTTCTGAGGAGCTCTTTGACAATGATATCACATTTTTTTAAGACAAGTGCTTAGATTTCAGGAGTTTATGGGGTTCTCTTGGCATGTGACATTTCATAAACAACTGCAGACCCAGAAGTTACCACTGATGAAAAAAATGAACATGGAAGAGAATCGGTCAAACAGCAGAGCCTATCCTGTGAGCTCCGAATCTGGACGGATTCCCCAAGCGATGACCGGGCACTGATGGGTGGTCATCCACATCCAGGAGATCCCAGGTCTAGGGGCATCCTGGAACCCTGGGAGCTTTATTATAGTTACCTGAGATTGCGAGCAGCATTTTCCTTCTGGCCCCAAAAGTTGTAATTCCCAGCTCCTTTAAGTCCTGATCTGTAAGGGTGAGGAATGTCTGAAGATCGATCTATGGACGTAAAAACAAAGAGAAGGTCCATCAGCAACACGAGATTCATCCCATTAAAGACTGGCTCTTAAATAATTGCTCTCTTCAGGGGCCAGTGTTTCCCTCTCCCTCTTCCAAATTACCTTATATTTGCTTTGTATGGATCTAAAGGGTACATGATGTTTTCCCTGACAGAATATAAACTCCTTGAGGGCAGACTATTTCCTTTTGATTCCTAAGTCTCTAGCACCTAGCAGAGTGTCTGGCAAGAGGAGACTTTTAATAATTGCTTCTTTTCAGTTAGGTGGCGCCATAGTGCACTGAGCGCTAGGCCTGGAGTCAGGAAGACTTGTCTTGTAAGTTCAAATATGGCCTCACACACTTACTAGCTGTATGACCCTGGGTAAGTCACTTAACTCTGTTTGCCTCAGTTTCCCCATCTGTCAGATAAGCCGAAGAAGGAAATGGCAAACCACTCTGGTATCTCTGCCAAGGAAACTCCAAATGGGGTCATGAAGAGTTGGACATGACTGAAACAACTGAACGACTAATCTTTCCAGTTCTTTGCTACAACAAAAAATGCTGCCATAAATATTCTCATATAGGTACATATCTGATGTACCAGGTAGGTAAGTAGGTAGGGTTTAGTGACTTCTTGGGCACAGTTCCAAAATTGTTTTTAAGATGGTTGGACTAATTTATAACTCTACCAAGAGTGTGGGCAGCAGTTAGGGGTTGCCATAGTGCATAAGAGCACTGGGTCTGGAGTCAGGAAGACTCATCTTTCCAAGCTGAAATCTGGCCTCAGACACTTACTAGCTGTGTGACCTCGGGCAAGTCATTTCTGTTTGCCTCCATTTCCTCATCTATAAAATGAGCTAGAGAAGGAAATGGCGAACCACTCCAGCATCTTTGCCAAGAAAAACCCATATGGGGTCATGGAGAGACAGACATGACTGAACAGCCAGGAGTGCACTAGTGCACCCATCCTCTCCTATCTTCTCCAATTGCTTGATGGATAGCTTCACCTATTAACTTTCAGTTCTAGCCATACTAACTTTGTACAAAAGAACTGCCCTATTGGATCATTCAGCTCGGTATTCCATCTTTAACGTTAGCAGCAAGGAGTATTTTGAGAGAGGGCATTGCTATGTTCATTAGTTTAAGGTTACACTTCAAAGACTCTTAAATTCCCTTAACTAGTGGCTGAGTAAGACCTCTCGTCCAATGAATTTATCAAATATTCCTTAAGCCAATTTATAGTAAATGCTCTTAACTGGCAATGGCATTGCCAATGGATGACTGTTCTAGTTAATTAAAAACCTTAATTAATAAACAGCAACCACATACACTCTCCCTCCAAATAAAAATACTACTCAAATGCCTCATCTCAGTGGAGAGCTAACCTTGGGTTGCTAAAGGCGACACTGGCCAGATTCTGGCTTTGACAGGTACTACACCAATGACGAAATCATCAAGCATTTATTAAGTGCCTATGATGTGCCAGGCAGTAAGTTAAAGCAACCTAACTGGAAAGGCTTCCAATGTGAGAATGGCAATAGGATGAGTATGTTTCCTAAGGCCAGCTTAGTTAAACACAAAAAGCTTGTCACCAGAAGGTTGGTCACTAGCTACTTAATTGTTTTGGGACTCATAGGTCCATGAAACAGACACAAATACAAAATGATTAGGCAGCTATTCTGTCCAAAGCATGCTACTAGGCACCGGGGTCTCAAAGATACATGAATTAGGATCATAAGAGCTAGAACTGAAAGAGAGCTTAGAAATCACACATGGAAGGATGTCCAGGATCACAGATTTCAGAGCTAGAAGGAGCCTTAGAGATCACTGAGGTCAACTCTCTTCCCATAATGCATGAGGAAATCTGAGGCTAGAATAGTTGAGTGCTGTATCCAACATCACACAGCTGGCAAGTGTCTGAGGCAGCATTCAAGCACAGACCTTCCTACCTCCTTGGAAAGGGGACAAATGACAAAATGGAACATTGGATCTGCCGGCATCCTGACTGTGCCCTGTTCTCAACGGTGAGGATGATGGAAACTCCACATTTGGACTCCATCACTTCATTAACCAACCAAGCAGAATGAGAAAGGGGCATGTGAAATAAAGGAGAAAAGAAGAGAGGACAGGCATGACCTGAGTACATACAGAAAAAATCTGTGCTGGTGGTGGCACCATTTTTAAAGGCACTCAGGGGTTGATTTTTAATATACTCCAGGAGAGGGGAGGTTTCTGCAAGGATGGAAAGATCCTGGATGATGCTTTTACCACCACCACTACCCCCCACAAAAATAGTGACTGAAGACAGGGCTAGAAACTAAGCCATACTTGCTCTTCCCTCTAAGAAAGCTCTTTATATAATCATATATAATCTATATCTCCAAACCCTTCAATAATCAGAGAAAGGTAAAGTGATGATTACAATGGGGTACCATCTAATACCCATCAAATCAACAAAAAGAGTTAAAAGTAATAAAATTCAATACTGGCCAGACCGAGAGAATCCATGGGTCAATCAATTAGCAATTATTAAGCCCCTGCTTAATAATATGAAACGCTGTGCAAGGCACTGCAGGGATACAAAGGCAATATGAAACAGTTCCTGCCCTCAAAGAGTTTGCATTGGGTCTGAAAAGACAAAGATGTGCATGCATATAGAGGCGGGTGCAGATGGTGCTGTCAGCAAAGCTCTTTACTGGTGTGACAAGGTACAAAATGGATTGTATCCTTTGACCTGTGATCTCACTACTAGGATTTTATCCATGGGATTTGATTAAAGCAAGCAGCAAAAAGATCTATCTGCCCAAAATTTTTTAGGGAACTTATCTGTATAACAACAACAAAAATTAGAAACTATGTATATTTATACATATCACATATATGATAAATTGATGATTGTATATAATATATAATAAATTATCAGGTTATATATAAATATATAAAAATAATATATGTAAAAACTTTTTACATACCTTGTTATATATTAATATATAAAATATATAATAAATTACCATATATAACATGGTATAATATGGTTAATATGTATCAATATATAAAATATGTAATAAAACACAATATGTAAAAACATTTTATAACAATATACCATAAATATTTAACAATGAGAGGTGAGCCAAAAACACCCTGGGTATTAATTAGTGTGATGGATTATTACTGTGTTGAAACAAAGAAATATGGGAAGAGAGTTCCAAAGTTGATACAGAGAGAACACAATTAGAACATGTATCTTGACAGCCATAAATTGAGGGGGAAATTAAGCAGTATTGCAAAAGAAAAGAGAAGAAAAGGTAAGAGAGAAAGTAAATCACTGTGTCATCATTTTGTTAAAGTATATTTTTAACGGAAGTACAACTTGTTTGCAGTTTGAGGTTTTTACTTGAGATATCAATTCTTATTCTTGTTTCTTCTACGAGACTATTATTAAGCTGATGTAATGTGTAACCCCAGATACAATAACTCGTCCCTCAGGGACTATGGACATTGTGACAACATTTTTAAGAAGGGATGGAATCTTGGGGAAGAAGTAGTTTCACTGTTATTCTGGGGACTGTCAATAGTCAATTGTCATGGCTGGAGAGAGACTGTGAGAGACAGAAGGGGAAAGGACTAAGAGAATTTTCTTCCTGAGAAATGGAATGACTTATGTGTCAAAGAGAAAAAGCCTAAGAAATGTTTCTGAGAAAGTTTAATTCAGGATATTTTGTACAGAGAAGATATGTGTAGAGAAGATTCCCTAAAGAAAATTACTGAGAGACACTGGCTACCATCCTGAGAGAATTGAATTGTTGGATTGAGGTATCAGCAGATGCAGTCATGGTTAGAAGTGACTCTAGATGGTATCTTTCTTCCAGCCGATACACTGTTGAAGTATTTAACAATATCTGTGTCTTGTTACATTATTAAAAAATTGTACAACCAGTTACATTGATGCCGCTAAAGCCAATGGGATGAAAGAGAGAGGAGTTTTTTGTAAACTGGTTGGGGGCTCAGATCTAATTGATTAATGAGAAAGATTGTCCATTTCTATATTTCATTAGGAAATATTAGGGCACATCCTTTGACTGACTTAGAACCCAGAATAAGAAATAAGAAATAAAATAACTGCTGTTAAAGAAAGATGAACTGAGATTACAAAAAAAATTATTGAAGTAAAATCTTCACGAGAATGGCTTATACATACTTGTAGGGTATCCTTGATGAAAACCTGAGAAGGAACTAGAAAGGCTTCTACAGATTTTCTGTAGCAAACAGTCTATATCTTTATGGTCACACAGCTGATTGATATATAATCTATGTCTACCGTGTTTTTTTTTTAATTAACTGGGCAGAAAAAAATTCAGCATCAAAGGCTTTCCTCAAACAAGCTATCAATATATGGATCTATGACAAATGTGACCATACAAATAACTTGGTTCAACACTTGGCCAAATGCTGACAGTTTGAAAGTGGGAAATGTATGTTCATTTAAGGTGTGTGACAGTACCATGGAAGATATCCTGTGCAGGATCCCCACAAAAGAAGCAATCCCCATATGTTGATGGCAAGGTTTCACAACTGCTCCTTTTCATAGATAACATGGTACTAATTGCAAAGAACCCCAGAACACTTGCAAAGCCTCCCCAATAAAAATCCATGGCATTATAAAAGAGATTGGGTTAACCATCCACACTAGAAAAACAAAATAGAAAAAAATATATATATACTGCATCATGCAACTAAGTAAGTAGGCTGTTGAGTCGGTCCACCAGGACACAAACTTCAGACAGACAATAGACAATGTGCTGGGCCCAGTACTAAGTAGAAGTTCAGGTTGAACTATATTTGGAAAAATGCCCAGCACCCCAGAAACATGAATTATCATTATTATCATAATAAACTGAAGCTTATTACTGCTCCAAAGCCTATCTCTTTGATGCCAATACTGGCATCACCTCCTAATGATGCTATGTGAATATGAAGCTTAGAATGAGACAATATTAGAAGAATCCAAAGGACAATGGATGGGTGAACGATGGGCACACGCAAAATGGAAATACATTACTAACAATGACTTCCCTGTGAGAAAGGGCATAAAGATACATCAGTGGGTATATATATGATCAGTGGGTCACGCAGAGCAGAGGCATTAAGCACATGGCCCACATCACTCCTGAGTGCCGCCCAAACCAGATTAAAATGTAGCTCTTATCTGATTTTATTCGTTGATGTATTAATTCAAAAAAGAACAAATCAACATATTTGGTTTTCTAAATCAATCTGCAGGCCACAAGGATCCTTAGACATGGCTTGGTTGGTGGTCCCTAATTCTATCTAAATCAGATACCACTGCCCTAAAATGTCTTCAGGTCATCAGTGATCACTACCTGGGGGGGTGTGCAGGTAACAGATCTGCCTTAATTGATCAAATGATGGAAAAATCACTTGTTCTGGGTTGTTGGACACTCCACCACCTCCAGAGTCAACAAGTACCTCTTGCCTAAGCAAGGCCTAAATAAAAGCTTTTTTCTGCTCTTCCCCAGAGGGGGAATAAAGTTCAAGGGAAAAAAGAAAAAAAGCCAAGAGGATCATTCTGTACCATTTAAACTCTGACTCTGGCACCACAAGGGTCTTTATACATCATCATGGTTTCTTCACCTGAGCTTCCTCTAAAAGAAATTCCTGCCTACTCGGCCTAGGGATTTGAGAATCCTAGAATGACAGAACTGAATTTTACATCTAGAAAGAATCTCAGAAACCATCAATAAGGGCCAATTTTGAAGGGTGTTAATGAAAATAACATCCATTTTTGAAAATCTTTGGTGAGCTTCAGAACTCAAACAAAGATTTCCTGGGGGCGGCAGGGGGGAAATACACCAACGCCCTGAAATGTAACATGTTCCCCATAAAACCTCCTTTCTCCAACACGGGAAGGAAAAAACCTGAGAAATTAAATTTAATAATTTACTGAACTATATGAACATGAACTGAATTTGTGGCACAAAGCTGGGATATAAAAATCTAGGCTTTTTATGGAGAAGTGCACAGCTGGGAATTGCTGACTCAGTCGGTCATTCTCTTAGAAGCAAAATGACAAAATCAGGCATGTCCGGACTAAACTTTGATCCCACTGTTGAGCACAGAAGAGCAGAGGTCCCACAAATGTTCTGCCCACACCCTTCACTTGAATGGTTCTACCAGGGTCTGCTTATACCCCTCAGCCTCTTCTGATGACCTCACCATAAAATGTCCATGGCCCATGAAGCCGATGGAATATGGAAGTCAGAATGAATCCGGTACCATTTTGTCCCAGAGGTTATAGAAACTACCTTGGACAGAGAAGCATGAACATTGTTCCTACTGCAAGCACTTCAGGGGAATCCCTATTGCCTCGAGAGTAAAATACAAATGGGGCCTTTATAAAGGCCTTCACAATTGGCTCCAGACTGCTTTTCCTGGCTTTTAGACATTCACACATACACACACACACACACACACACACATACACGTATATGTATATGTATATATCATTATAAATCATTCCCTTCATGCATTCTGTGTCTCAGCCAAATTGGACTATGTGATGTTCCCCATACATGATAATCTCCTCCTGTGCCTGGACTCTTTCTCATCACCTCTGGAAGAGGCCTTCTTGTGTCTCCCAGGTATTCATACTCATCATCCCATTCTCTCCCCGTTACTTTGAATGTATTTCATATGTATTTTGCAGTCCCTGATCTTTGTATGTGTTGTTCCTCCCTAGTAGGATGTAAGCTCTGTGAAGGCAGGACCGGTTCCCATTTGTATTTATGGTTGTTCTGAAGGTACTTCGTCCCACTAGGAAGGAAGCCAGTGGGGCAAAGGAAATGGTAGGAAGGATTTTAGTGGAACTCTCCTGCCAGACATCTTTCATAATGTACTTGTGGTTGGGGTGTGGCCAGAGGAGAGAGTCTATTAAAAAAAAGGAAAATCTCTAACAGCGTGGTACAGCCCAGGCATCAGCCAGGAAAGGTGATGGATCTGGGACTTCACCTTATCCCTCTAGATCAGAGGTTCTTAACCTAGGGTCCATGGACTTGGATGGGGAAAAAATTACATCTTTATTTTCCCTAACTTATGTTTTTCTTTATAAGTCTATGTATTTTATGCAATTTAAACCATCCTGAGAAGGGTCCACAGGTGTCACCAGTCTGACAAAGGGCTTCCACGGCACAAGAAAGATCAAGAATCCCTGACTTAAGGGCTAATTTGAGAATGTCACTCAAGAGGCATTGATTGAATCCCTCCTATGTGTACCAGGTGCTGGGGGTGTACAGACAAAATTGAAACTGCCCCTGTCCTCAAGGATCTTGTACTCTATAGGAGGAGATGATACGTATTAAAATAAGCGTAGACAAAATATTTCAATGTTTTATAGGCACATGTAAGAATGAAAAAAGACTGACCTCCTGCTGCTGGAACACGTCGGTGTATTTACCCAGTCCGAGCTTGCTGAAGAGCTCGGGAAGGTCAGACCCCTTGAGGGAGCTGTTCAAGCTACAGCCATTGCTTCCGGTCAGGGAGGAAATGCAGTCCATGTAATTGCTGCTGCTGAGATAGTGTTCGGCTAAGAGGCGAAAGAGAGACAGAGACAGACACAGAGAAATACTTGAGATTAAATACCTGGACTTTTAAAGCATGCTTTAATTAAAAGTTTTAATCATTCCCATATTTCTGCTCCCCACTGTTGGGTTGACGAGACCATCAGATTGCAGGAATATAGAAAGCTCTGACCCCGGTGGGCTGGCTTTTCATTAGTGGCATGCGGATTATTGCTCTCAAGAAGCTCTTGTCATTTAAAAGGTTACACTTGGGAGCCAGTAATCCAGCCACAAAACATCTGCAGTTACAGCAATTAATCATATTCTCACCAGGCATTCAGAAACATTAATTTTTTAATTTAATTTTAATTTAAAGATGGGCTCGGGAAGAAAGTCTGAGTTAAATTAAGTGAGGAAGTTGGGGCAGCGCTAGAGATAAAAGCAAAAGACACAAATCCCAGGTCCCTTTTGAGGGACAGAATGGCCCCTTAATGACCCAACCTAGCTTTCCCTGTGGTCTAGGAAATCTTACAGTATCAGAAACTACCATACCTGGACACAACACATATCTGCATGGACAGACAGTTGCATCCTCCACAAAGATGCCAAATAGATATTCCTTCAGGTCTAACCATGCCACTCTCTAGCTCAGAAAGCTCCAGTGCACCCCACTACTTTTAGGATAAAATGCAACCTCCCTTGTTTGACTTTTAAAGCCCCTGGCAGCCTGGCTCCAGCCACCTTTCCAGGCTGGCTGGTTACAGTACCTTAATTCCCCTTCCCAGACTCTATGTTCTGGTCAATGGCATCTACCCACTCTTCCCTAGAAGGGAAAGGCCAGTGGTAGGAATAATGGCTTTGGAACCATGGGTTCAGATCCTGCTTTGGATGTTTCATACAAATATGCCCTTAGATAAGTGACTTACTTCCTCTGAACCTCAGTTTCCTCATCTCTAAAATAAGGAGCATGAATGATATGACCTCTGAGGTACTAGCTTTCATCCTGTGATCCTAAGGGATCCCATCTCTGGGTCTTTGTACAAACGGTCTCCCACACCTGGAACGCACTCATTTCTCCCCTCTACCTCTTAGGATACCTAGCTTCCTTCAAGATCCAGCTCATGCCACTTTTTACTTGATATGCCCACTTTCTGGTCCCACCTCCAATCTGAAATTGTATCCACTTTACGTACACTTGTGTTGACATATCTTTGAACACATCATTCCTCTTTCAAAGAATAAACTCTCTGAATGTGGTGGGGGCGGGGGGTAGGGGTAAGAACTGTTTCATTTTTATGTTGGTATTTTTAATATCTGGCACAGGACCTGACCCATAGTAGCTGCTTCTTAAGTCTTTGTTGAACCGATGAGTACAATTCACTTTGGGCACGCCAGGGGACTCTGGGCCCACTCAGGCCTGAATAAGCACTGCCACCACAACGTACCCAACAAATGCTTTCTCAGGCTCCACCAGGAGGTCTTAAGTGAGGAGGAACCCAGGCCCTCCCGGGGCAGAGGGGGCCACTCTTGGAAAGTCCTGATATGTTAGCAACTTTTTCCCTGGCACTGAGCCCCCTTCCGTTGCTTTAAGTTCTAACCTAAGACTCTAATGTGCTGTTGTTTTAGAAAAGGCTAAGCAAAGTAAGTCTAATCCCTCTTTCCTTTGAGAAGCCTTCAAATGTTTGAAGACTGCCTTCCCGTCTTTGTGAATCAAGCACCTGTCCTGCAACAGAGACTGTTCCCGAGCCCCGAGTGGCACAAGACACTAAGACAGGTGGGCTGGGCTTTGCACTAAGCTCTACCCTGAACTCTTAGGTACTAATGGGTCAATCATTTAACTCATGTCTACACCTTCTACTGAAGTCATCACCCCCACAAAAGATTAAAGCCTGAGTGATGGACTAGTGGACTGTTCCACCATATCTAAGACCCTGCCTTGCTATTTATTGTCTTAGGAAAGACATAGGATCTCATCCAGTCAATTTCCTCCCTCAGTACTGGACACTGGCATGCAAGATAGAGCCATGAGAAAGTCTGTGAGAAGACTCCTATTAGTTCTTCTGGCAAAGTCTTTGAAAAGTAGGTAGCAAACAAGTCCTAATCCTGCATGTTTATTATTTAATGAGCTCTGTAATTTACCTTTCCCCACTTCTCTTGTCTCAACTCTTCCTAATTCTGTATGCCTACATCTTGCTACTTACATTTACCAAAACAGGATGGTACTTCGGAACCTCAGACATGAAAAGTGGAGATCCCCCATTTTCAATGGCATCGATCATCACCACCATTATTGTTGTTGTTGTTATAGCTGGCATTTATTATTGCTTTAATGTTTACAAAGTCCTTTAACATATGTAATCTCACCGAATCTCACAACCACCCTATTCGTTTCAAATGAGACAATATTTGTAAAGTACTTAGCACAGTGTCTGGCATATAGTGGCTGCTTAATAATGTCTAACATAATAATGCCTAACAATGCTAATAAGGTCTACTAATAGTGGCTGCTTAATAAATGCTGGCTCCCTGCCCCTGCACGAGAGGAATAATTCAGTTCTAGAGGCATAATTACTCCATTTTAAAGATGAAGAAACTGAGGCTTGGGTGGCTTGCCTGTGGTCACATGGCTAGTGTCAGAAGCAGGATTCGAACTAAAGTCTCCAAGGCACATAGGATCATAGAGGCAGAGCTAGAAGAAAGCTCACTTAGTCATCTGGTCCAATGCTCTCATTTTATAGCTGAGGAATCAAAGCTTCAGAGAGTCTGGCGTCAGAGGGCGGACTTCAGGCCTGAGGCTATCCTGCCTCTGAGTCCAAGACTCTTTCCCTCCCCTGTTAAGGCAAATAAACGATTGTATTCATTGAATCATTTTCATATATTAAGAATCCTCGGAGCAACTAGGTGGTGCAGTGGACAGAGCACCTGCCCTGGACTCAGGAGGACCTGAGTTCAAATCCAGCCTCAGACACATAACACTCACTAGCTCAGTGACCCTGGGCAAGTCACTTAACCCCAACTGCCTCACAAAAAAAAAAAAGAATCCTCTCATCCCCTTGAACCTGCATTCAAGTGTTGCTGAGCTTCCCTCAACTAGGCAATTACTGGCATGGTCGTCTTTCCATTTGTATGAGAAGGTCCTGGAGGTTGACTGGACTTCAGGTTCAATTTGAGTTAATGGGATGACAATGATAGCCCCAAAAGGCTGCCCCAAGGCACTTAATATCTACTTGCTGACTGAACAGCTGAACATCCCACCATTCTCTGCCCTGGCCAGGCCCCATTGGAGGCCAGTGTTTAGTTCTGGGTTCCCTATTTTAAGATGGGCTTTGAAAAGTTGGCAAGCACCTGGGCGGGAGTCACCAGGATGGTGGAGGACCTTGAATTAATGCCACTTGGGGAGAAGTGAAAGGAATGAAGAATTTTTAGCCTAGAGAAGGGAAGACGTAGAGGGAGCAGGATAGGGGCCTTCAAGTATCTGAAAGTCTATCAGCTGAAAGAGCAGTCATGCTCACTTGTTTCTCCTCAGAACAAGATTAGGAACAATGGACAGAAACTGGATGGAGTGGCAGATTTCTGTTGAGAGCAAGGACAAAAACAATCCACCAAGAACCCAACATGTGAAAGCGGAATGGGATGGCTCCCTAAGGTTTTCCACCAAAAGTTCAATGGCCTCTTGTTGAGGATACTGTTACAAGGACTCCTGTTGAGGCTGGGGCTAGAAGTGATGGCACCGGCAGTCCCTTCTAGCAGTGGGATGGTGGGATTCTCAGTGCTGATGCTAACTCTAGGTGGAAGAACCAGAGTGGGCTCAGGAAGACCCAGAGTCAACAGTCATCTGGGCCAGGTCTTTGAATACTGTCAGAGCCCCATCCTCAGACACACACATACTCGCCAGTCTCAGGCCAGGCACCAAACCTCTCCCAACTCTCTCCAACCACTAAGGTCCCAAGGGTCAGGTGAGGGAGCTGACAAGAGTAAGGAGAGAATTAGAAGGTGAGAATTGGAAGGGTGGACCATCTCCCCTCTCTGGGCCTCTCTTCCCGCATCTGTAAAAGGAGTGGGTTAGAGGAGATGCTCTCTAAGGATCTGCTCTAAATCCTGCCCTGCACTGCTACCAATAATCTGCTTGGAAAAAGGAGAATGGCCCTGGATACTCTGGTACTTTTTAAAACAAGAAGAGTTAGCAGTGGCCAATTCATACAAAATACCCTGGCTTGTCAAATTCTTGGTTAGCTGGCAAGATGATACATCTTAATTAGGAGCCAACAAGACTTTGCGGGCACCTCACCAGGGACCTTATGGGATTCAACAAAGCCAGAGAAGACAGCCATGCCATCAGCAGCACCTGCACTTCAGAATACTGGAGCGAGGTCGGGGACACAGACTTTAACAGGGAGAGTTAATGAGGAACAGAGCAGAGAGGGCTCTCTGTTCCCCCCAGACAGGGATCAGATCTTCCCTGTTGAAGCTTAAAGTCCTCACTAGAGGTCAGTGCTCCAGAGCTCAGGGCCTAGTGCAGCTACACCTGCATCGTCTAGTTAAGACAGCCATCACTGTCCTGGGAGCTCTCCTAGGACTCTGAAGGAGGCAGCGTCTGGCCACTGATTTAATAACAATTTAATAACAATTCCTATTTCTATGTTACTTTAAGCTTGCAGGGCAGTATCCTCACCATAATCCAACAAGGTGTCAGAATTCCAAGTATTATCATCATTGTCATCTTATAAGTGAGGAAACAAGCCTTACAGAGGCTGCAACTGACCCAAAGTCACCCAGGGAGCAAAGGGTCAGAATGAGCACTGGAACCCAGGGCTCAGTTCGAAGGCCAGCACTCTTTGCACTAATCACTGGTCCTTAATGAGGGGTCCAGGGTCCTCCTGAGGGGACTGGGGTCTGTGGATAGATTTCAGGAAATCTGTGAAGTTGGATGGGGAAGAAAAAATCACATTTATATTTTCAGTTGCCTCTAAATAAGCATTTCTTTCGATTGATTCTGAGGAAGGGTCCGTGGCTTTCCCCAGACTGACAGCCTGCCCAAGGAAGCCATGACACACAGAAGGTGGAGCGCTCCTGGGCTAGATCATGCTCTCTATTATTAATGTTAACAACATACAATCAGTTACATTCCTTATAGGGCCCAAGTTTACAAAGCAAGTGCCATGTATATGTTATCTCATTGTCATGATGACTGCTCATGGCCTCCATGAGCAGTCCATGTCTAGATGGGCTAATGGCATTTTAGCTCAATGTTTAATGATACCACTCAAACTGCATTCTTAGAAGGGATGGGAAGACAAAGTCACGACTTCTCAAACAGTCAAAATGTTTTCCCACTGGCTAACTTATATCCCTTTTGCTTTCCCTCTTGTCCAGTCTTTGGCAGAAAAAGAGAGACAGAGACAGAGAGAGTCAGAGACAGAGACAAAGAGAGAGAGAGAGCCTAAACCAGTCCTACAATGCTCTTTCAAGGACTTTGAGATTTGTGTTTTCTTCAGAATAAATCTCAGTTTCCACTTACTGGTCTTTGAATGGACCCTAATTTTCAAATTATTTTATTCATTTTGTTTTAAAAAATCCTAAAACATACAGAAGCCCAATGCCACATTGTTTAGCCTGGACAATGACAGTCACAGAAATGTAACATGCATCCTTTATTAGAGCGAGACGTCTCAACCTCACACTCATGTCTCTCTACCAACCACCAACCCAGCATCAACCCAACTTTCCCTTGAGGGGCAGTGACAAGTCAAGTCAAGAAGGATTTTTAAAGTTCCTACTATGTTCTAGGCACTCTACTAAGGGATTGGAATACAAACAAAAGGAGAAAGAAAGGCAGTCCCCACCCTTTACATTCCAATGACACAATGGATACAGACCTAGAATCAGGAAGATCTGAGTTCCAATCCTGCTTCAGACACTTAACTATCTATGTGATTCTGGGCAAGTCATTTTACCACTGCCTGCCTCAATTTCCTCAAGTATAAAATGGGGACAATAATAGCACCTACCTTGTAGGACTGTTATGAGGATCAAATGGGATAACATGTAAAGTGTTTTATAAACCCTAAAATGCTATAGAAATGCTAGTTATTATTATTTGATCAATTCCAAGAGGCAGCCTGGGACAATGCAAAGCACGCTGGATTTAGTGTCAGAGAAGCCGGGCTTATCCAACTTCTGTTACACCTGTGTGGGAACACAGTCACTCTCGGGGTCTGGACAGGCTCAGCTCTGTGTTCCCTGGTGCCTCCAGACCTATAATGGGATGCCTGGACAATCCCCCCTCCTGCAGAGCCAGGTTCTATGCCATCCCAAATGTTCTGAGTTCACTTTTGGCTCTTTGGTTTCTTTCTTCCTGTTCCCTCAGAACCATTTCTGTTGATCCATGGCCTATAAGTGCTTTAAGGGCTCCAGACACATCTCCTCTACACGAAGCCAAGATGACTGACCCTTCCCCAAATGGCCAGTTCTTACTGGCAACAACATTACATGACATTCAACACCACATCTCATTCAGCTCTTCCCCAATCAATGAATGCCGACTTAGCTTCCAAGTCTCTGCTGTCACGAAGGGCATGACTGACTGTTTGGGCATACCTGGGGCCTTTGTTTGCGTTTGTCTCTTTGCTTGTCCCTTCTCTGGACAGCCCCTTCACTGACACTGGAGAACGCAGGAAGGGCCTGGCAGAGGAAGTGTGAGCCGTAGTCACTAGTCAGAAAGCCTGTGTCCCTGGATGGCAGAGGCACTGGAGGGGATGCAGGTGTAAGAAGACTGGAAAGGCAGGAAGAGGTGAGGCTGCAAAGCGCTTCCAAAGCCAAAGAGAGGACGTTATGTTTAATCCTACAGGTAACAGGGCAACACTGGAGCTTTGTGAGTACGGGGGTGAGATGGCCTAACCTGACCTTTAGTGAAATCACGCTGGCAGCCGAGGCTTGGACTGGAGTGGGGAGAACCTGGAGGCAGGAAGACCCACCAGCAGCTACTGTGGTAGTCCAGGCGTGAGGGGAGGAGGGCCTGCACAAAAGCTGTGGGAGGGGAGGGCCCCCGGAGGTCAGGGGAGGGATTAAGAAAGTCAGTTTCAGAAAGGAGAGAACCCAGAATACTTGGATTGGTAAAGGTCAAAAAGAGGTCCAAGTAAACAAAGTTTTAGCAGCATCCTAACTGGTTATCCTTGGTCCTCGAAGGCCAAGACCTTGTTCAGCCCTGCGAGTCTGACAGAAAAAAGAACAGGCAGAAAGAATCAGGGAGACGCTTCACTGGGACTTCAAAAAGAAAAGATTTGGTGTAAATGAATGAATGAAAAATCATTTTAACTGTCTACAATGTGCCAAGAACTGTGCTAAGCACTGAGGAAACACTAGTTAAAAAAAAAATCAACAGTCCCTGCTTTAAAGGAGTTCACACTTTAATTGGGGCCGACAATACATAAAAGAAAATGCAGCTACAAGGTAGAAGCGAAGGCTCAGAATGCCTTAGAAAAGAAGCGAGGAAGTATATTTGGAGCAAGACCCCGAAGAAAAATCAACAGCGAATGATACAGACAGACAGAAGCTGAGAGCAGAGAAAAGATAAGAACTTATTCAAAGAAAAGCATCTCAGAGGAAAGCCATGTTCTCAGTGGACAAATACTTCACAATAAAGACAACTTAGTTGAAATCTAATGAGGAAAGTGAAGCTATTCCAATAATTTCTGCAAGGCCCCTCAAACAAGAATGGAGCAACTCCAAGAATGTCCAAATTATTCAGAAAACCAATCAAAAAATAAACTAAAAATACCAAGTAAATAAAGACAGTGATGAGAGCACTTTAAGAAATAAAACAACAAGTCTAACAAGTGACTAGAAAATACAGAACAAAAGACAGAGACCCATCACAACAGCAAATTCTCTGGAAAGAGAAACAACAGAATTAGAATGGATGGGTGGGGAGGTAGAAAAAAATTAATGGAACAATTTTTTTTAAGTTTGGAAAAACATGAGAACTCTATAAAACTAGAAATACTAAATCTGAAGATGGCGGCAAAGACAACAGTCTAAGGATCATAGGTCTTCCAGAAGGACAGCATGAAGAAGACAACCTGCACACTATACACAAAAAGCCCAGAAACACGGGGAAGTCTCTTCTCCCCAAATCACAGACCAAAGGTGAAAGTCAGAAGAAAGTTGAAACTCACTTGATTTGTTTTGCTTGCGTTTGGGGCTCCCAAGAGAAGGTGAAAATTCATTGTGAGCAGTAGGACCGATTCCATTCCGGTCTCTCCAATTATCAGATTCACTTCCGTTCCCCAGGTGTTCACGACTGTTGGACCGTGAGAGAGACATTGATGACCCCTGCAATTGAAAAAAGAGTCCAAAGAAAGACAAGGACGAGTAACTTAATTGGTGGGTTGGGGGAGAAGTGGGTAGGGAGGAGGAGAATAATTACAGTCCGCAGAAGATCACCTAATTTAGTTTCATTATGGAATTAACTTTCTGAAGGAGGCCTTAAAAATGTAGTCCTGCACTAATGCATGGACAGTGAGGTTGTGAACCGATCCAACCATTCTAGAGAACAACTGAGAACTACACCCAAAGGGCTACAAAACTGTGCGTGCCCTTTGACCCGGCAATGCCAGTGCTAGGTCTATACCCCAAAGAGATCAAAGGAAAAGGAAAAGGAACTATATGTACAAAAATACTTGTAACAGCCCTTTTGTGGTAGTAAAGAATTGGAAATTGAGGGGATGCCCATCAATTGGGGAATGGATGAACAAGTTGTGGCATATGAATATAATGGAATATTATTGTGCTGTAAGAAATGAGCTCCATCAACTGATGCAGAGTGAAGTGAGCAGAACCAGAACATCGTACACAGTCACATCAATGCTGTATGATGATCCACTGTGAATGACTTAGCTATTCTCACATAATTCTGGAATATTCCTGATGAAAAATGTTTTCTACCTCCATAGAAAGAACTGATGGAGTTTAAATGCAGATCAAAGCATACTTTTTTTTCCACTTTCTTTGTTTTTCTTGTTTTGTGGGGATTTTTTTTTTGGTCTGTGTTTTCTTTCACAACTGACTAATACAGAAATATGTTTGACATGACTGTACATGTATAACCTATATCAAACTGTTTGCCATCTTGAGGGGAGGGAAGGGATGGAGGAAGAGAGAGAATTTCAAACTCAAAAAACTCTAAAGCTAATGTTAAAAGTTGTTTTTACATATAATTGGAAAAAATGTTTAGAAAAAGTACCACCAAAAAAATTCTAGTCCTACCCCCTTATTTTACAGATGATGAAACTGAGGCTGAGAGGCGCTGGAATTTGTCCGAGGTTCTACAGCTAATAAGTGGCAGAGCTGGGATCTGAACCCAGGTCTTCAAACTTCCAATCCAATGTTCCTTCATTCTACAGCTTCCCACTTGACTACATTACCTCTGACAGTATCTAGAGACTGGAGCTCTACTCTGGTGTACTGATATCATGGAAAAAGAGTCAGACTTGGATCTGTATCCCATGAATGACAGTTATTAGCATCACATGATTTTCCTGGTGCATGGACGTCCCCTCTCCAACCTCGAGGCTCAGAGAGTGGTCTTACAGAGCACCATGAGGTTCTGCCTTGCTCCCGTCAGAGCCAGCATGTATCAAAAGAGGGAACTAGACCCAAGTGTTCTTGGTTTCCAATCTGGTATCTCCACATGGTCTCTCTAAAAACAGAAGAGAGTAATATAATATAGATTTTTTTAAAGGGGTAGAAAAAAGAAACTGAACATTTTGATAATATTCCATTCAAGTGAAAATTTCCTCCTGTAAGTTGGAGAAGTGAGGCAGACGTTGAAGAAGGATGTCAAGGCTACAGGCATATCCTCCCCTAAGACAATACTTAAAGTTCTCTGGGAAGATGAGATCTTCAAGGGAGGCAACGTAGAGCAGGGGACCCGGAGCAGGGTTGGGGAGGATTCCTACCACTCACCACCCCACCCTTCCAAGGAAGAACCAATGAAGATATCCCAGGGGAATGGAATGCTCCATTGTTTCAAGAAAACTAGCTTGGCAATAGCAGGTAAGAGAGACTGAAGAAGTGAGTAAATGACAGCAGAAAATTTAGTTTGGAGACTATTTCCATTTAAGGAGGGATTGGGGTATAGCAGAAAAAGCCCAAGAAGACCTGAGTTCAAATCCCTACTCTGCCAACTTACCACCTAGGTCACCCTGGGAAAATTACTTCACCTCTCTGGGCCTCAGTTTCTTCATCTATAAAATGAAGGGGTTGGAATGGAGGGCACTGAGGGCCCTCCCAACTCTAGTTTTATGATCCTCTGTCCCTGGTCTGTGATAATGAGGGCCCAGACCAGGCGAGATGTCAACGGAAACAAAGGGACTGAATCAAGGATGGGACTGACAGAGAAAGATACTGATAAGACTTGGTGCCTGACTTGTTTTAGCCTAGAAAAAATAATGGAGTCATGGACCCAAATTGGGAAACCCAGAAAAGGAATAAGGAGGGAAAAGGAGATGATGGGCCATACAGATAATGATGTCTAACTGAACTATCAGAAAAGACATCAGGGTTTCAGATGTAGATTGAAGAGATGTTCACCTAGAGTTGAGTGTGAAGCCATAAGGACAAATGAGATTGCCCAGCTGAAGAGCACCAAGGATGGAACCTTGGTGTCCATGATTGGTTAATGTACAGAGAGCAAAGTATAATGGATAGAGCACTAGATTTCGTCTCAGAAAGATCTGGGTTCAAATCCTTCCTTGGACGCTTCCTGGTGTTGTGATCCTAGACAAGTCATTTAACTTCTCCTCATCTGTAAAATGGGGATAATAATAGCTCCTAGAAGCAATAGGAAGACTGTGGAAATTCCAGAGCAGGGACAGACAGGTCAGGCCCCCTCTCCTGCCACACCGTCTGAGTTACCCTCAGCAAAGCCACCTGGCTTCTCTACCCTGTGCAGGCCATGGAGGCTCTTTGGGCCAAGAGACTCTGGGTCTCTGAGCTTCTCTTTTTCCCCTTCGGGGATCACCGAAAAGCCAAATGTGAGCGGTTGTTTAAAACCAGCTGTTCCAGGACAGCTGTGGCAGGGTCTGCAACAAGGAAACTGCCTCCCCCCAAAGAGCTAACATTAGGAATGCTCAGAAACTCACTTCCTAGGCTTCCTCCTTTTCATCGTGGCTGTGCTATGAAGCCTGGGGGCTGCTGCACATTGAGCTGAGCGTTTGTGAGCTTGGGAACTCTTGGGTTTGACGAGTTTCTTTTTCTCTGACCACCCATCTCTAAAAATTGGATGGATTGATCATGCTAACAGTGGAACAAATTGGGGCTGGGGTTATCTTTGATGGTACTCTATGCAGTTCAGAGAGCCAGGGTGGGGGTGGGGGTTAGAATTTTTTTTCTTTTATAACAAAACTCAGCTCTACCACTACGTAATCATGGACAAATCACTTCTCTGGGCCTCGGTTTCTTCATCTGTCAAATGAGGGGGCATGACAAGATTTTAAGGCCCCTCCCAGGAAGTGAATAAAACTAATTTAAGTATTTATTTCAGAGTTACACAATTTTGAAAGTAACTCAAATTATACTCCTCTAAGTCCCTTGCACCACTGCTGTAATATAACCCTGAGAACAAAACGTACCAGAACCTTCTTTCCAGGCCCTTACAAATAGCTTCCTTGTCCTTGCACTGGAAGTTTTGGGGATTCAAAAGGAGCACTGAAAAAGAGCACGCTTCCTAGAGCTCTACAGGAGCAAACTGGTCCATTAGAGAGGAAGAGAAGGCCACCCCAAGCCTTCAAATCATTACGCAACTGTCTTTCAAACAAGGAGTCCAGTAAATATTCTATTTCGATTGATTGCTGATTTTTTTCTCTCTAAAATATGGGTTTGGACAACTTCCTCATATTTTCTCATAGAAGCCAACAGCCAAAAGCTGGCTATCTCCAAACTGGCAGGCCCTTGCTTGTCAGTCCTATGTAGCCTAATGGGGTATTGACCCATGGCCTTGGCTCCTACTGCCATATGTCAGGAAGCCAGCCTCTCCGCTTCAACGTACGTGACAGAGCCAACATCTGGGACCACTGGAGAGCTTGGCTTTGGCAGGTCCAAATGCCCAGGACTGTTTGCTACTCGCCATTTGAAAGGTGAGTCTTCCTTTTCTATTTGCATCATTTACCTCTGAGGTGGTTCTGTCAGAAGACAGACCCTCAGAATGAAGGTCTTGTCTAAGCACCAGAGAGGATAGCATGGCCATCCTTTGTCTACCCTCAGTCCCATGGTTTGATTTACTGTGTGTGAGTGTGTACGTACACACACACATCCCCAACAGCAAACAGTCCCTAGCTTTGAAAGCTGGGGATGGGTCACTAAAACTATTTCCATTTCATGACAATCTAGTTACAGTGAACAGACTCAGAGCCAGTCTCCTCCCTTCTCCACCCCTTACCACCACCCGGAAGATTAAAAAAAGTGTGTGGCACTGAGTGGAAGTCCATGGACTCCATGTGCCGTCCACAGAGCTGCCAGAGGGGAAGCGCCCAGTGAGTGTTTACCTCATAGGTCGTCCTCATCGTGGGCTTATAGGAGACGTGGTTAGCCCTCCTGAGCTCCTTGATGGTTTCAGCTGGCATGGACTTGGAGAATCCCAGGCCACTCCATGTGTTGGTTGGTGTCCTCACTTCCGTCACCACCGGCTTTTTCAGCATTGCTTTGGGGGAGGAAGGGGGACGGACACACATGGAACAGTCAATCCTTGTGAGTTATCTTCTCAAACATGATTATATACAACTGAGGGTGTGATCTTTAACAACAACAATAATAACTAGCATTTATAGAGCACTTTAAAGCCCTCAAAGTACTTTACAAATATTATCTCATTTGATCCTCACAATAACAATGGGAAGTAGGTGTTATTATTGTCCCCATTTTACAGCTGAGGAAAATAAGGCAAACCAGGGTTAAGTGACTTTCCCAGGGTAACACAGCTTAATTAAATGTCTGAGGCCGAATTTTAACTCCACCTAACTCCACCAGAGCCACTCAGCTGTCTTTATGCATCACAAACTATTACAGAATAGGCCAGGGTCACATAGGTCCCAAGTCAAAGAGCCAGGATTCAAATTCAGGACCTATGACTTTAAGAATCAATACCCTTATCACGGCATCAAAAAGCCTTGTCAATTTTACTTGATCCTTCATTAGGCCAATACAGACTTCATACAACATGGGTCGATCTTTCTTGTTTGTTTTGTTTTTTTCTTCTTTTCTTTTTTTTAAAGTACGGATAAACCTTTTTCATCAAGAGCAAAATGAATCAAATACAGACAGTGGAAAATATGTTTATGGGTCCACTGAGAAATAGAGGCATTTTGGAGGAGGCTCATGGACGACATACCTTTGGTTGCTAGCAGCTTTTTCTGTTCATAGTCAAATGCCTAAAAAAATTAAACAAACAGAAAATTCTTTACTTCTCCTTTCACCATGGGTCACACCAACACTCACATTCTAAAAACAAAGGCTTTAACTACAGCTCACGAATTCCCAAGGGACAAGTGTTTAACCTAAGTTTAATAATATACTAGCAATCCGCTGAACATCTGATACATCTAAATGGTAAACCAATCAATCGACAAGCAACGATTAAGTGCCTACTATGTGCTAACCACTGTACTAGGAACTAGAGAGAAAAACAAAACAGCCCTCCTCCCCTAAGAGCTTATATTCTATTGGATCATTTAAATATCTCATTGGAGCAATAAATAACTATCTGACTTGTGGCACTGAGTCAAATTATCTCCTTTAACTTAAACAAATCTATTTATGATTAATATTTAACACGCTAAGGAAAGCATACTTCAAATATCAGTGACTCAATCCAATAGTATCCAAAAATCTGGTTTGGGATACCACATTCCTGAAATACTGAGATTCTACCCCAAATTCCTGCACTACTCTTTCCCAGAAACCAGTTGTTTAAAAAAAACCCTCTCATTTATGATAAGCATGACCTATCATGCCTATGGTTTTGATGACAAGGATTTGGGGAATCCTTTCCAAAAGAAAGAACTTGATGCCAAGATACCAGTGGACTGTTTTTAAAAATAACCTTGATTTCTGTGAATTACAGCTCATTCTGTAGTGGTACCTGGAAAATTCTCTCTTCCTCTCCCCCATCATCTAAGTTGAACCCTCTCTTGTAACAAAAAGAAACCAGTTAGACTAAAGCCACGCAATTACCGCGACCGTGTCTGAGAAATTATATGATATCTTGTCCTCCCAGCCTTCACCCCCACACCCATTCCCTTTGCTGATGGGAGAGAGATTTGATTCATTATCTGTTCTCTGGGACCATTATTGGTTTTCAATTGCTCCAAGTGAGATTATCAAATCAAACTGAAATATTGCTTGATTTCAACTTGCAATGACATTGGATAATATTAAACAGGCCTCGAGTTCTACCTGCTAGCCAGCACTCACAGAGTACCTTCAAACCAGGTGCTTGGTAAATATTGACTAAAGGAATGCTTGACTCTCAAGTCGCTATCCCAGAAGCATACTGTAGGGAAAAGAGGACCTGGGGTGGGAGCCTAGAGTTGCTACTGATGATCTGTGTCATTTTCCCTTGCTGGGACTCCGTTCCTCCTCTGTAGAAGGAGGGTCTTGGACTCAATAACCTCAAATACCTCTACAAGCTCTGTTATAATTCCATACTCTATGAACTCTACTGAAACACAAAATGTTAGAAATCAAAGTGACTTTAGAGAGATCAGCAGTATCACAATGGATGGACCGGACACGGCACTTTTAAGGTTAACTGAATGCTTCACACAGACATTATCCTATCTGATCACCTGCTCCAACCTCCTCACTCTGAAGACGAAGAAACAGAGACTCATTGCTCACAATCGCTCTGGACACAAACGGGTCTCCTAACCCACCCTTGGAGGCTTTGTAACCCCAATGATTTCAGCCAAAGATCATTAATCAGCAACTGTCCAGAATGCTCAATTCCAGGAGATAACTGCCCCTGAAAGTGCTGGCTTGTTAAGTCAGTCCAGCTAAACTAGTCATGAACAGCACTAGTCTACTGCACTGAAGTTTGCTTAGAAAAACCTCTAAAATGAGGTTTGAGGATCATAACTTCTCTCCATCACAGATGTTGGTGAGGATGAGGGAAGAAGAACGGCATTTATGTGCCGAAAAACAACATGGTGAACAAAACAGAGGACCAGACCCACTTTCTGATCTTCATAAACTCTTAAAACTCACCTTCATAAAAATCTGAGCCACAGGTAAATAAAACTATCTCCGCAGGTCAAGTCACCAAGAAGTACAAGGAGGTAACAGTCTGATGAAAAAATAGCACAGAGGGCTAGCTCCTCATCTCTAACATGTACACTCTGCATCCCCTTTGCCACTAGCCTCCACCCTCTGGCAGGATGGCACAAGGGGACTCATAACCAACAGTCTCTGCTGGCACATCTGGTCCCTAACCTTACTCTACCTTTCTGTGACAACAAATAGCAGAATTCAACTCAATCCACTTCTTTCCCCACTCATGCAGAGAAGGTAAAGCGCAGGAAAGTGAACACACTTGGCCTGGGGTGGCAGCATGCTATACTGCAGCAGCCCTCAGCCAGAGAATTAGAGAACAGAGGTAACTGGGGAAATCTACCACTATATGGGTGGGGGGGGAGGCACTACATAAGGCCTGAAGAAAAAGAGTCTGGCATCCAGTGTAGATCAGTTCTGTCCCCTCAGAAGTCAGTTAGGGCAGAGACTGAGGCTGGTTAAAAATTAATTCCTCAGCAAAAGAAATGGCTGAGACAACTCTTAGGTCAAATACCAGGGAATCTGACATCAAAGAGAAAGAAGTCAGAAAGTGAACAATAAAGGAATATAGGAAAAGAGATTTAAATTACCAAAAATCTCAAGAGAGGGAAAAATCAGTCAAAAATTTTGAGTACTGGCACATAAATCAATAGGAAAGATATTAAAACAGAAGGAAAGATAACCTCTGGGACATCTAAATGAGTCCCAACACTTCTTAATAAATATTGCCAAGCAAAAGAAACTGAATCAACATTTGAGAGGCAGAGGATCCTGTGAATTCCCAAGAGAAAATGGTACCACAACAATTCCCAATAATTCAAGAGAGAAATAAAAATGGTGACAATTTGCACAGTAGAAATAATTGGCAGAATAGAAAAACTTGAATCCACAATGGCAAACCTTACCAAGAAACAAAAGAAGTAAATACAAATATAAAGAAGTGAAAAATAATCTAGATGAGGAACAGCAAAAAAGCAATAATATTAAAAGAATACATGACACCTAAACAAGAAAAACATTGTGCTCTTGAAGACAGGATACAGATAAAACTTAAGGATCATAGGTCTCTTAGAACACAAGTCGAAAGACCCTGAACGCCATAATGCAATAAGTAATACAGTAAAACTGCTCAGAATTTCTAAAAACATAAAACAAAATGCTCATCAAAAGAATCTATGGATTGCCTCCAAAAAACAAACAAGAATCCTATGCTACAAATTCCAAGATAGTAATGGTTAAATTTAATAATTTCCGATGACAAACAATAAATTCTGCAAACTACCACAAATAAAGGAAAAGAAATGTGAATACCTCAAGACTACTCTGCACCCACTAGGAACTACATAAGGGAATGGAATGATGTGTTCTGAAGAGGAAAGGAGTCCAAGATGCAACCCAAGATGTGAGCCTAATCATCAATTTGAAAAATAGACATTCAATAAAAGAGAATCATTTTAAGAATGTCTATGGACTTGCTGTGAGGACCATTTGTGAAGTTTTTAGCAAATCTTAAAGCACTATACATAAGTCAGCAAGGATAATGATGGTATAAAAGTTCACAAATAACTCCTAAAATTTCATTTTAAGCAATCTTCTACCTCCTCTAACTTTTGACCAAGTTAACAATAACGAGAGGCAGCATTTCATGGTGAGTAGAAATCTGGCCTCAAAATTCATGGTTCAGATACTGGCTGTGTGACCTGGGCAACTCTCACTCACAGTGTCCCAGGTAACCCTCTAAGATTATAAATTTCAAAGCCAGTCTTCATTGGTTGAGGGAGTTTTCTAATCAGGAATGTCTTATGCCAAGGAAATCATAAGTCTTGTCCAAATAGCACTAATTATAGCCCTACATTTATACGGCACTTGAAGCAGAACACTCAAACTATATTAGTTCATTTGATGCAGCTAGGCAGTACAGTGGATACAGAGCACCTGCCTCCCAGGATTATTGTGAGAATCAACTGAGACATTTGTAAAGTGCTCAGCGCAGTGCCTGGAACATAGTAAACACCAAAGAGAAGGCTGATTCCTTCCCTTCCCCACCATTATGTGATCCTCAAGACTACCTGGTGAGGTGTGCACAATAGGTATTAACATCCTCATTTTACATATTATTGGATAATAGAGCTACAGGTCACCTAGTCCATCCCTGTCATTTTATAAACGAAAGAAGATTCAAAAACGAGGCTCAGAGAGCCTTCATGTATAGTGACCTCCATATCTTCACAGAACTAGTATGTGATAGATGTAGGAATGAAGCCCAGGTGTCTCCTGACTCTGAGACCAGCCCTCTGTATATCATACCAAGCTGATAAAACGTTCTGCTTGGCATTCCTCTATATTTCCCTTTTCCTACCCAGTCACTGACAAATATGGTGCACATAAGATGATGTAAAGAGTAGTGAGGGGTCCAGATGTCCACGACTAGATAATTAACTCCAATTTTTCCCCCTAGACCTTTGGCTTCAATAGTATAGGGAATTACCAGTAAGAAAACTCCATCAATGTATGTTGGCACCTACTCTGTGACAGAAAGTTGTCTGGGGAATTGAAAGGAAGTGACTTGCTCAGGTCACAGAGCCAGGATGTATGTGAGGCAGGGCTTGAACCTGGGTCTTCCTGACTCCCAGGCTCTCTCTCTGCCATGCCACACTGCTGCTGCTCCCATCTCCCAAGTATCTGACAACTGACTCCCTAGGAAGATGGCATCCACTGATGCTTGATTTCTTGGCCCCCACTATCACTGATGACTGCAGAGAGCTTTCTTCTTTGTGACTGCAAGGGATAGAGATGATTATTGGACTGATGACATAAATGTACCTCTTACATATGAAAATCCTGCATCAGGAAATGGTCAGCTGGGCCAAAGGAAATATTTGAAATCTTTATTGCTACACATTGTTGAATTATCTTTTGTCAAAAAGAGAAACAAGAAAAGACAGAAGGCAATGAAGATATACCATAGTCCGAGAAATAAAAACTAATAAATATGGCAAAGAGGTTGGCTTGGATCATAAGGTTGACACTGAAGCTATAAAGTATTTATCTACACACATACACACACACACACACACACACACACACACAGCCCAGCTTCACCTTTTCTGACATTTACAAATTGTAATTTGTCTTTTCCAACAACCAAAAGCAAAGCACACAACAAAAGCGATGAGTAGTCATTTATCCATGGGTAAACACAAGTTAATGATGGTCTTATGACTCCCGACCAAAATGTCATTGCTAATATGCAAAGTACCATTTAATTCTAAAGGTAAATTTTACTGTCAAGTAAACAATTTAAGAACTCGGTTTACAGGGATCAGATTTAAGTACTTTCTCCTCTATTAAGCTTTGAGATTTTTTTTAATTGAGTTCTGATGGTAAAATCTATACAGGCAGAGACCACATGTGTTCTTGTTTCTGTTTCTAAGAGTGCCTAGGAGCACATGCTGAGTGCTCAATAAACACTTTTTTGGACTGCTGAATTTTGGAGTTAAATAAGTACATATATAAATATGCATAACATAAATATCAATTTAACTCAAAGGGACTTGGCCAATGGGTACCTCATTCTCTGAATATGCCTAGTCAACTCTGCCTACTTCCAGGTCATTTAAACTAGACTGAAGAGCCTGCTTCTGGTAAGGCAAAAAGATACATAACAGAGGAATTCTGCTCCTGGATTCAGAGCACACACAGGCCATTCTGACTGTTTCCTGTCTGCTTAACTCATAAAAGAGTCTTTTAGGTTGGTTACCAGATCAGATCTGGCAGGCAGACAAAAGACTCACCCAGAAGTCACTCACTGCCTCATTGCTGCCTGGCTGGTTTGAGTGAAGAAGACAGGCTGTAAGTCTCAGGGTGGGGAAAGGCCTATCATCCTCCCTCACCAGACCATCGTGTGGGCTGTGAATACGAGCTTCTGTTCTTTGGCACTCGGGTCTGTTCTTTTCTACTCTTAAGCGAAGGATGACCTTGTGAGTTTCCAAAGATTGGAGAAGCATCCTAGATCTAGAATCTAGGATCCATGCCAACCAAACCAACCTCAGCCCAGCCCTTTACTACCATTGGTGATGTGCCTTTTATCAATATACCCATAATTGTTACCTCGAATGGGAGTAAAGAAGGCCCACTATCGATAGACACCTCCATGTGGGCAGTCTCTCATTGTATCGATTCTACCCTCTCCGCATCAGTACCTACCTGCATGTTGACATAGGACGACCGTGGAGCGAGGCGCACTCGCTCTGAGTTCTGCTGGGCCGCTGCTGCCCTCTCAGCTGCTCGTTCACTCCCTGGAGCCTTCTTGTCAGCCAAAGGACTCTCTGAAGCGCTCAGCTCTGAATCCGAGAGCAATCGTTCAGTGGTGCTAAGAAAGAAAACTTGAAGGTTAGCCCTCAACCATAGACCAGAGGTCTCCATGTTGATGGTCCAAGTAATTATCAGTGGTCTCCCCATTTACCACCAGCTATACTGCTTTTGGACTTCTTTGGACTTTTACATCATGCCCCCATAGCCAGCTACCTTCTCTCACCACCCCATCATTCTATACACCCACTCCTTGCTTTTCAGCTCCCTACATTAGACTGTAAGCTCCTTGAGGGCGGTCTTTGTTTTTATTTGTATTTGTATCCCAGTTGCTTAGCATAATGCCTGATACTTAGTAGGTACTTTAAAAATATCTATTGTCGAAGTAAGCTAGGCCTAGTTAACCTGAGAGGTAGCAAGGTGTATGGGGGTGGAGGGGGAAAGAGAGAGATGCTCACAGATCTAGAGGACTGTATTATCATATTGTAAGAGAGAGGCTCACAGGATTCTGGAAGGTACTCTCAGTGGTCATCTGGGTTAGCCTTAAGAACACAGACCATCTGATGCCTACTCTAATATTCCATCCCACTAGACCACAACCACTTCCTATGAAAGCCAAGGACAGAATTCAAAAGAAGAAGGCAACATCAATAACCAATTATCAAATGAATTCCATCTCTGGTGCATGCAGGCCAGCCTAGCTGAAGTAGCACCCTGAGGCAGCAGCAGGAGGTAAGGTCACCAACACCACCCCTTTGGCTCCCATCTCCCCCCAAACTGAGAGGGAATGGGTAAGAGCACTGGACCTGGAGCCAGGACTACCCAAGTTCAGATCTCACCTCAGACACTTGCCAGGTGTGTGACCCTATCCAATCACCTAACTTCTCTCAGCATCACCTGTAAAAGGGGGCTAATAATAACACTTACCTCAAAGGATTGTTGTGAAGATCAAATGGGACAACACATGCAAAGTGCTTTGTAACTTTAAGCACTACATAAACGCTATCATCACAGCTATGGGCTATAAATGGGCTGCTCTGGGAGGGGTGGATTTCCCCTCAGCTAAGGTCAAGTTCAGGGTGGAAGACCAAGCATAGAGGGCATTGTAGACAGCATTCTGGTCTAGGGACAGAGAGGTTGGATTTAATGGCCCCTGGGGTCTCTTCCAACCCTGTGGTTCTGAGATATGCACACCTATGTGCGTGACAGACATGATCTGGAACATGTATGAAACAGCGGAAACCATTCCAGAAGGAAGAAGTCCTTGAGGGCTTGGGGGGAATCTTTTCTCACAGACTGGGGCCCTCAGCTGAAGGCACTCAAGGATGAATTCAGAAGTAAATGCAGACAAAATTATAGTGGGGAAATGGTAAGAGATGAATATTAAGAGACAGCCATGATTACAACAAACAAGATGATTATGGAAGATGAACAGAAGGTCAATCCTAGACCAGCAACATTTTCAGAGCTCAATGGGAAGTGTTTCAGAAAACTGACATCAACTCAAAAGCCTAAACTCAAGATGTGGGGATGGGAGGGAGAAGGGGAGAAAGGGGAAAAGATGAAATGGGAATAAAGGAGAACATGGAAAGGAAAAGAGGGAGACAGAAGAGAAGGAAGGAGAGAAAGAAGTATGCAAGGACCAATAAGAGAAGAGAAATAAAAGTGGTGGAGAAAGAAAGAAGAGAGAGGCAGACAGGTAGCACAGCAAATAGAGAGCTCCAATAGCAAAGTCTAGAGATCTGGGAACCATAAGTTTTCTAAAGCTAAGTCACACCACACAACTGCTCCCTGCAAAGGCAAAGAATGACTCACTGAAGAATGTAGAGCTGGGATTTGAACCCAGGTCCTTTCATTTTTCCATATGGAGCTAAATCACTTTCAATACAGACCTTTATGGTGAATCATCAGAAGGATAATAGTGGACAGTAAGCACCGTAAGAGGGAAAATAGAATGAGTCGAACTGGCCCAAATCAGCAATGCAAAGTTTATCAGGAATCCTCTTGGGCAATGTCGATGTTACCCAGAGAATCCTAGCTCAGCAACAATTCAGCAAGTTCTAAGAGTGATGGGGTTGGAGTCAAAAGACCTTGATTTCTAGATCCATGATCTTAAGCAAAACAAAAAGGCCTTAAGGCTTAGAATGGAAGGATCGTAGATTTAGATCTGGAAGGGAGAACGAGAATCTAAGGTCTAGCAAAGGGGGAGTGATTTGGCAAAGGTCACACAGGGAGTAAGAGATCTCGAAGTTCAATGTTCTCAATTACAGATGGGGAACTAAGGCCAAAGAGGGGGAGTTACTTTTCTGGAGTCACACAGGCAGTACATTGTTCAGTTAAGATTCCAAGTCAATTACCCTTCTTTACCTCCCAAAGGCTCAGTTGATCCTGTATAAGATGTGGATAGTATGACTACTTAGAGGATGAGTTGGAGGAAAGTGCTTCCCAAACCTGAAGGTGCCGTATAAAAGGAGGAAATGACACTCGAATCCATAAGAAGCTGGTCAGAGACCAATACCTACTGTAAATGAGAGTTCTTTGTGCCTTGAAGTAATTCTACTGTCTGCCTCTTGGAGCAGGATACCTTGGAGGACGCCATCATTTGCTTGAGCTCAGTGGCACTGGCCGAATGCGAAGGACTTCGAGGCATGCCCACTTCCACAAAAGCATCATTGCAACCTGTGGATTAGAAGAAGACCAAATGAAAATCAAAGCAGCCGCCATCTTGGTATGGTGCCAGCATGAAATCAGCTGCCACAGACCAGTATCTAGCACTCTGGAGACATTATTAGCCAAAAGGACTTGTAACAACATTCTGTTTATAAGAGACTTGATAGAGACTTCTTTAACCAACAGGCACTTTTAAAGCACCCACTATGTAACAGGGACTGTTCTAGGCACTGGAGATACAAAGACAAAAATGAAATAGCCCTTCACCTCAAGTTGCTTACAGTCTACTTGGGGAGAAAAACATCCACATACAGGTAAAGAGATACAAATGCTTCAGATAGAAACATTATAGCTTCACAGTTCAAAGTCCTACTGACTGGGGGTTCTGAAAGTCTCCACTTGAAGTAGGAAAGGCTATCATTTCTATGACATTAATTCAAGTGTAAAAAAATCTTGGGCAAACATGTATGTGTATGCGTGGCTTTGCAGGTATAGATAGAGATGTGCACACACACCGGCAGAGATATACACATGCTGGCACAGTTGTGTAGATACCCACCACAGCAGGTGGTAGAATGTGCATTATACTATCATATGTTTTACATGTTACTTATGATTAAATGCCATATAGTATCATAGCTTTAGAACTGGACAGGAAATGGAGGCTCAGAGAAGTCAGGTGATTTGCCAGGTAGTAAACGGCAAAGCAGTAATATGAGTCCAAGTCAATGCCTTATCCACAACACCCTACTGCCCGAATTAATACTACCATAGTAATTATTTTGATTTAATTACTTCTTCCTTCATGATATTTACTTTCAATATACCAGAGACAGGACAAAGCTACAACTGGACCCCCAGCATCAGGGAATGGTGCCTAGGCACTCCACTCAGGGCCCCTTCAGAGCAGAAACCTCCCCCAAACTAGTGAGGGCAGGGGCAAAGGGGCGGCCCCCTACCTTCTGGGGCACCGGACTTGGACGATACTTGCTCAGAGGCACTCGTCTGGCGTGATGGGTCATTGTGATTTCCAGTCAGCACTTTTTCTCCAAGGGATGAGGTCGATATTGCACCATATTTTATCTTTGAAGACTGAAGCAGTTATAGGAAAAGGTCAGAGCTCTCATCTCACCTTAAATGCTCACAAATTTCACGTGAAAAAAAATGTTTATCATGAAGGTTAAAAAAAAAAGAATGGAGCCAGAGCTCTGCCAGATACGAGTAAGTGGTGGCCCGGAGCACACTCCTCACTGAGCTTACCTGCACATGTCCATTCAGAGCAGGAGAGCCTTGGGGGGCTTCTGACTGCATGCCATTGACATGGACTTCTATAGGAGTCAAGCCTGGAGGAGGAGATGGCGTTGTCTGGCTGTAGCTGGGCACTCCAGACAACAAAATACTGGTCAATGTGGCTTGGGCGGTGGAGGGAATCATGAGATGTGGGAGTGGCGGAAAACCTACAGTGGGGAAAATCCAAGCAAAGAGAACACATGATCACAAGGTTCCTGCTACTACTGTCAGGCCCCAGAGGAAGGAGAGCGGCATCCTCACCGTTCACACTCAGAGGGGCAACTGCTTTACATTTATCCTCCAGGGTTTCATAAGAAATCCAAGCACGTCTTATGAGAGCTCGGAAGGCCCTCTGGGGCAATCTGGTCCAAACTCTTACTTAAAATGCACATTTAGACAAGGAATGTGGCTGGTCTTTGGCCACAGTGCCCAATAAATGCTCATTCTTTCATGTGGCTTGGTAGTAGTATAGACGGATCTACAACCCAGGGCCCCAATCCCTGTTTTGGTGTGACTTTCCACCACATCAATCGGCTAGCTATACGGCTACCGGGGCAGAAATGCTCCTTAGTCACTGGATTGTTAGGAAGACTGTGGGAGTCTTCAGGTTGGCAGGGGAAGTGACTGGAATTTGAGGAAGAGAGTTAGCATGAAATAGTGCAAAGAACATTGGCTCTGGTCAGAAGTGGGTTTGAACACCAGCTCGGCTACTCAACTCTAACCTTGAGCAAGTGCCTTCACTGCTCTGGGTCCCAGATTCTTCATCTAGGAATGTCTTTTGCCTCTTTGTATCCCCAGGGCTTAGCACAGTGCCTGGCACATACTGATGATGATAATAATAATAATAATAATAATAATAATAATAATAATAATAACAATAATAACAACTGACATTTATATACGCCAGGCTCTGTGTTAAGAGCTTTACAAATATTAACTCCTTTGATAATATAGTAGGTGCTTAATAAATGCTTACTAACTGACTGACTGATGAGGTTGGACTATGGTCCCTTCCTTCTTTACAGGCATAACAATTCAGAGTTCCTTTAAGCAGACTTTTTTTTTTATATATGGTCAGATATGTCCCTTGTCTGGCTACTAATTTATCTTGATGACACAGGAAAGATTCTATTTTTATTACCATATCCAAATCAACCCAAATCAACCCAAACATTTGTCAAATGTCTGTGGTTCACATGATGCTGATCAATACAACAACCAAAAATAAAAAGCAGAGCCTGCCCACAAGAAGCTTACAATCTACCCAGGGAACATCTCCCATAAAATCCTTAGGTTCCCGCCGCCTTCCTTTAAATTCCCAGCATGCTGACCTGTGGCACTTGAAGTGTTGGCAAGTGGGGGAGCCCAGAGCGTGGGGCTTGGAGTACCAGAACTCGGACTCTGCAGAGGGCTCACAGAGCTATTCAGAGCATTCAGGAGCGAGTTTGGAGTCGTCGAGGTGTTTACAGATAAGGCAGTTGGGCCGAGAAGACCTGTGTGCAAAGTGTGGAAAGTTAGCTTGTGTAATAGTTCCAGATGTTACTGTAAAAACGCCCCTACTATTGCTCCTTCAAATGTAAATTATAATAAGGAGCCCTTCTTTAAAATATGTAGGGCATCCCCAAAGTCTAAACTCAACTCCAACCCACTAAAACTTAAGAAAGTACTAAGATTTCTGGGACACCCTGTATACTATACTTAGGAAATTCCTCCAATGGAGTCATCCCCTGGTATGTTATTGAGTTGTGGGGTGACCCTGCGTCTTCAAAGTCTACAAACCCAGGAACAAACTGTGGTCTGAGGACTGACCTAGCTACATGCAGAAAAGCTGGTAGCCAAGTAATGGAAATGCAGTGACTGTCACAAGAAGGCACAGAGAGGTTATGCACAGGACAACGTCTGACTAGAGAACGTTACAGTTCCTGTGTGAGGCAGGTGTGGCCATAGCCAAGTTCGTTTAATCTAGAAACCCTCCCCCAGGAGAATACAACTTCCTCGCGGGCAGGAACCACTTTTTTTTTAAATTTTCTATCCCCTGCTCAGCACATAGCAGATATTTAATAAATGAATGTGAAATTGAACTGAAAAAGGAACCTGTCCTCTCTCAGAATCCCAGACTCTCCAGACTGAGAATGACTTCAGAGGCCACCTAGCTCACTCTATGCCTGGAAAAGAACATTCCCCTATCGGATCTTACAACAGGTGACACAGCCGAGAGACCTCGAGGAGGGAGGGACTCCCTTTCTCCCTGGGCAGCCCTCCCCATGTCAGAACAGCTCTCATTCCTATGAAGAATCTTCCCATCATCAAACATATATATGCCTTTTTGCAACTTTGACCCCTGGCTATCAGAGGGCTTGCTCTCTCCTCTCGTAGGTGGGGTAAGGAGATTCCCAAATCTGCTGCCTTTTCTTATAGAATTCATCCAAGTCCAATTCCCAGTCTTGGTGTTGACAAAGCCCCTTTCTCATGGGTTTACATGGGATGGGGGTCATGCTTAGATCAGGTACCAATGGTCTGATATAAGCATCCTTTATCGATCTTCTTGGTTTGAGTTGACATTGCAGTTAAGTCCTTAATGTTTCCCCTCCTCTCCCTCAGCAGAGAAAGGGGTCCTAATGGTTCATTTCCAGATAAGCTAGTCTACTCCCAACAGGCTGTTTGCAGTAAATGGGACATAACCAATAAATAAATATATTATTCTTCTGATGTCCGCCTCAGTACACTTCCTCCTCTCCTCCACCGAAAAACAAATGACCAAAGGTCTTTTATGTTTGCACATACCTACTTTAGTGCTTCAAAGGGCAGAGAGATTTGCTCTTAACCTTAAATTCAATTAAAATGGTTGAGAACGTGTGTATGAGCACGATGTGGCCCGTAGCTGCTATGTGCTTGTCAGGCGTCATCCACAAGGTAACGGCATTGTCAGAAATGCCCAGAGGCACTCTGCCCTCTCCCCTAAGAGCTTAATAAGGTAAAAATCTCAGAATGGGCCTCCCCCCGCACCCCTCTCCAGGCCTATGCTGAGGGGGCAGCTGGTGTGGATTGCTCTCCATGGGCCAGATTTCTTCAAGGGCTCCCCATCACCAACTGAACAAAGGACAAATTCCTCTCAGCTAATCAACCTGCCTGTCCAGACTTATATTACAGTGCAGTGCAATAAGTGTTGGATTGGGGGTCAGAGGACTTGAGTTCAAATCTTACTACCTGCATGACCCTGGACAAGCCTCTGTTTTTATGTCTGTAAAATGAGGAGGCTGACTAGATGACCTCGTAAGGATGCTTCCAGTTCTAACTCCAGGATCTAAGGCCTCTTCCTTCTCCCCATTCTGTCAGGAAGTCAAAAGGGACCAAGTTTCTGCCCTGGAAACACAGTCCGGCCTCCCCGGCTTGACTTTCTATTCCCTATGTTACAGGTCTTCCTCCATTGTCTCTGCTTGTTGAATTCACCTGTAGCTTTTATAGCCCAATTCAAATGCCACCTCTTCCAGGATGCTCCCCCTGGTTCTACTGTATTGGTAAAGACCTGCCCTCTCTGACTTCCCAGAGTCCTTTGGGTTGTAACTCTCTGATACAATTAACATGAAATGTTACGTTTCACAGTTATCTTGATGTCTCATCTCTTCCTACTAGATTGTAAACTACCTGAGGGGAGTCTCTATCTACCTCTCAATGCCCAATAGGCTCTACACTAAATATAGGTGCTCAATAAAGGTTTTTTGTTGTTACTGATTTGATACAACAAACTTTGATTAAATTAAATATACATATATCAGACAGTGCGAATACAAAGATTAAGCTGAAATAGCTCCTACCCTCAAGAAGCTTCTATTTTAATGGGTGGAGGGAGAAGGGACACAACACACAACATGCACACAGATAAGAAAACAAAAAGTATGTAGGAAAGCATATCCAAAGGAGACGGCACTAACAAGTGGGGAGATCAGTCAGTACGGCTGGAGAAGAAGGTGTCTGAGCTAGGCTGAGAAGGAAGGCAAGGGGACTCAGAGAGAGAAAGACAGAGACAGAGAGGCAGGGAGAGAGGGGAGAGAAAGGGAGAGACAGAGAGAGAAACAAAGAGAGAGAAAGGGAGACACAAAGACAAGAGAGGTAGAGAGAAAGGAGGAGAGAAAGAGAGAGACAGGGACAGAGAGAGACAAAGACAGAAACGGAATGGAAGAGAGAGAGATGGATAGAGACAGAGACAGACATAGTGAGAGAGGCAGAGACAGAAAGGAAGATAGGGGCAGAGAGAAAGGTAAGGAGAGAATACATTCAAGGCACAGGAGAGCCCGTACAAAGGCGTGACGGTAGGAAGGAAGGTTGCGTATGGAGAATATTGTGAGTTGGCTGGTTTAATAAACATGGCCAGTTCGTGAAGGGAAAGGATCTGAAAGAAGCCTGGAGAAGCGTGTGGAATCACTGCAGACTGAGAATGCTGAATTTTCTCCTCAAAGCCAGAAGGAGCTGTGGAAGATTTCTGAAGAGTGAAATGATATCATCAGCTTTGTGTTTCACAAATATTGATGTGGCATGGGAGGCTGGTGAAGGATGAGGCAAAATGGAGAAGAAAAAAGAAAATCTTGTTCTATAGTTACGGAAATCTGGGCATGCCTCTGCTAAAAACATGTTAGCATTCACTGGCAATCAGCTTTCACGTACACCTTACATCCCAGTCTCTAGACTGATGAAAATCTTGCAAAATCCACAGAAAACACATACGTTACAATAGGCTGTAGTCTCGCACCCTTATATTATTTCTGGTTTAAAAAGGACAAACAGGAATAGTCCCTGAAAACAAAGTCATCAGCTCTGGATTACTGAAGCCAATCCTGTTAGAGGAGAGGTGACAGAAACACACGCAGAGATGTTAACGAGAAGCAAAAGCTGGGGGGGGGGGCACATTTCCCTCAGAAGGAGGGCTGAAGAGCAGCCCACAGGGCATTGACAGACAGCTGGAAGAACGTATTTTATACCTAGTCCAGTGAGTCCCAGGCCTGCAGAAGCTAAGATATCCAAGCCCGGACATGACAGGCCGGCGGGGCACGAGACCGGAGATGGGCTGGTTGTTATGGTAACGCCACTACTTTCAAGTCCGAGGAGACATTTCCTGGCTTCATACATATTTAAGGCATTTCGCTCAACGCTTTTCACAATCACAGACTATGAAAACACATAATGGAGGGAAAAAAAATGTGAGATGCAAGTAGAATGCAAGGAATTGGGGGTGGGGAACAACGATGAATGTGTTCATTCCCAATTCCACACAGGGAACCATAAGCATTACCTGAACCATCGGCTTAGATACCAACAAAAGACTGAGAATTTGAACACAAAGCTTTTCCTTTCTCCATTTTTCACAAAACAAAGCAAACTGGGCACTGAGTAGATCTAAGAGGGAGGTTTGGAACAGTGGAAAGAGAAGATGATTTTGAGCCAGGGGGCCCAGAAGGGAGCTCCAACGTTGTCCCTTAAGACCAGTGTGACTCTAAGCAAAGCACTTTAGCTTTCTGGGCCTGGGTCTCCTTGTCTGTAGGATGAGAGAGCTGAACTACAATGGCCTCTCAGCTCTAAATCTACGATCTGATGAACTTTCTAGATTCTGGTTGCCAGAGCAGTACAAGGAAAATAGCAATGGCCTTCCCAAGGAAGACCGGAGGATCTGGGTTCAAACTCTCACTCTGCCACTTTCTATCCATGTGGTCTTGGGTAAGGCACTTCTCTCTGTGCCTTGGTGTACTCAGCTCTAAAATGAAGGCGTTAAAATAGAAGCCGGGGGTTGGCCAACTCTGACTCTGGACACAGCAGATCCAAGAGGTCTCCTTGAATCAGAGCAGGGGGAGGTAAAAAGGGCCTCCGAGGGCATCCAGGCCAATACCTCATTTTACAGAGGAGAAATCTGAGGCCCAGAGAGGTGAAGAACTTAGGATCACAGGCTCATAGAACTACAACTGGAAAGAACCTCAGAGATATCGAATCCAGTCCCTCTGCTTTGCAGATGAGGAAACTGAGGCCCAGATAGGTGAAGGCTCTCCCATTAGATTGTAAGCTCCTTGGGGGCAGGGACCATCTCTTGACTTTTTCTGTATCCCTAGCATTTAGCACAGTGCCTGGCACATAGTAGGCTCTTTATAAATGTTTACTGAATTGAAGTGAAGTAACTTAGCCAGGATCACTGAGACGACAAAGAACAGAGCTAAGACTCAAACCCAGGTTTTCTGACTCCTATTCCCACCCTCCCATTTCACTGGAAGAACTCTGGAACTCAAAGAAGAGTTATCTTTCACTTTACGGAACAGCTGTATACCAGCTAAGTTGGCTACAAAGCAGTTTTCTATACAAGGAATCCTATTCTTCCTATTGATTTCCTTTCTAAAAATGGAAAAATATTCATTCCCATGGTATAAAACACTTAGCAATATTTTAAAAAATTGGGTGGTAAAGAGAATAAAATGTAGTCAGATTAAATGACTCAACAACATACAGTTGAATTCAGTGGGAACAGCAGCCTATACGAGCAGGCTCCATTCTCCTGTTAACCCTTTCCTGACCTCTGCTCACTTCTCCACTCAAAGGACCTGGTCATTAGGCAACTCTTCATCCAAACATTGTTGAGTTTGTTGGAAAGAGGAGGAGTCACTACACCTGGATTTGAATCACCCATTGGGTTTTAACTAACTGGATGAGCACAGATAAGCCCCTCATTCTATCTGAGCCTCAATTTCCTCATTTGGGAAATGGAAATAACAATCATGGAATTCCCACCTCTCAGGATAGTCATAGAGGGAGTACTACGTAAATTGTAAAGTGCTTAAAAAATGTGAAGTGTTGTGCTGTCATGAACCTTTTGACTGGGCAGGTACAGTGAAGTGCATTAATTGATCTAGCTGTCTTAAAGGGACCCTCCAAATCTGACCTGTGTGCGACACCCATCCTTCTCAAAAGTGCTTTATGAACCATATAATCTGAAGGCAGATGGAAGCATGTCATTTTCACTTTTTTTGTTTGTTTTTCCTTTCTTGTGGTTTTTCCCTTCATTCTGATTCTTCTTTCACAACATGACTAGTGTGAAAATATGTTTCACATAATTGAATATGTATAACCTATATCAGACTGCACGCCGTCTTGGGGATGGGGAGGGGAGGGGAGGGAGAGAGAAAAAAGTTTTGAACTCAAAATCTTATAAAAGTGAATGCTGAAAATTATTTTTACATGTAATTTGAAAAAAATAAAATACTATCAAGTAGAAAAAGGTGCTTTATGAATCTTACAGAATTGTCTCCATATAATCTCACATATGCAGTGAGGAATAGTGAAAAAAGGGTTTTAGTTTTACAGAGATGCTCACCACCTGCATGACCTTGGACAAGGTCACTGAACACCTCTCAGCTAGAGGTTTGTCACCTGTAGAACGAGGGGCTGGACAAAAGGCCCTTCTAGCTCTAGGAGTACTATCTCAATATATTTTTACACTACGCAGAACTGGTAGAACTCCTTGGCTTCTTGGAAACAAGGTTCAGAAAGGTGAAGACTGAAAACAAGGTGATTTTAATAATCAAGGCCTGGCTGAATCTCAGAGGCTTTATCTGTACTCAAATAAGGACCTCTACTTGACAAGTAGACATCTAGCCTTCGCAAGAAGATGTCCAGTGAGGGGAAACTCACTGCCTCGGCAGACAGCAGCACATTCTGCTTCTGAATTGCTCTGATATCGAGACTTTTTTCTCACACTGATGACAAACCTCACTCTCTCTATGGCTTCCATTCATAGCTCCTAGCTCTACCCTTTGGGGACAAGCAGAAAAAGTCTAATTCCTTTTTCATGTGAAAGATCTTAAAATATTTAAAGACAACCCTCATGCCCTGCCCTCCCCCCAATTCTCTCTCACATTCCTAGTTGCTTCAACTGATTCTAAAATGGCGAAGTCTTTGCTCCTTTTATCACCCTGGTCACCCTCTTCTGGATATACTCCAGCCAATGTCACCCCTAAAATAGGGCCACTAGAACCAAACACAATAAATAGTTAAGTTAAGAGCGTGTTGAGAGAATTAAAATTAACACCAGATTTCCACTCACCTCTTTCCTTCCCACCTATAATCCATCAAACACACTTAAACTAGAAGATTGAGTACAGTATGTTTCACTCCAAAATGAATTATTGGTTGCGATTCATGTTTGAAATTTAAAAAAAAAAAGAGAGAAGAGTGGAAAGACTTAAAGGGATCTGAGAAAGGACCTCAAAACAACCGACACTTCTATGGGGAATGGACAACCGGCCCCAGACAACAAGGAGCTCCTGCCTGGTTCCATTCCAAGTGAACTGTACATATGAATAACAGGCAGCTTAGCAGGAGAATGTGGGCAGCCGGATCTGAGTTCCTGGTGTGCGGATCCAGAACCCACCTTGCTCGGCTGTTTTGGCTTGGGCTTGATGCTGATGAAGACGTCTAGCTGTTCCATCAACTGAGCGATGAACTGAGGTTCCACATCGATCTCTTCCTTCATATCAAACATCAACACAAGAGGAAGACAGCCCTGGAGGATGGGACCAAAAAGAACAGGTAAGAGGAACAAGGGAGTGAGCCTCCTTCAAAACTCAAGATGTCCCATGACCACAGAAAGCCCAATGTATGACAGATTCAGTAAAATGTGAGCGAATGAAGCCTCAACACAGCACTGCATACTTTGTTTTGCTGGAGAAGAAGCTACTTTTGTTTCTCTTTTTGTGAGGCAACTGGGGTTAAGTGACTTCCCCAAGGTCACGCAGCTAGTAAGTGTCAAGTGTCTGGTCTGAGACTGGATTTGAACTCAGGTCCTCCTGACTCCAAGGCCAATGCTCTGTCCACTGTGCCGTCTAGTGGCCCCCTAGAAGCTACTTCTGTGAATGTGAAAATAAGACTCTTAAAAGTCTCAAGTTCTGGTCCTGCACTTATCTCCTTCCATGATACAGAGCAGGACTTTTACCTTGTTGTCACTCACTTGCTCAAGACTCAACACAATGGCCTCAGTCAGGGCAAGTCTGGACACTTATTCTAGCATTCAAGCTCTCCATAATCTCAGGGGCACAATTAGGAAAGAGTGCTAGATTTGGAAACCGAAGACCACAGCTCAAATTGCAGCTCTGCTCACTGAGCAAACCAGTTACCTCATCATTAAAATGGGGAGAATAATCATTATCTGTCCTGACAGCATGCAGCCAGACAGCTCAGCACAGTCTGTTACATCCTGGCTATGTGACCCCAGGCAAGTTGCACTCTAGGAAGCACCGGGCCTGCATTAACAGGAGGAGATACTTCACTGAACTTTCCTAGAAAAGTGAAAGTCTGGGCCCCATTCTATCACCAACATGACGTGGCTCTTCTAAGAATTCAACTGATCACAATCTGTTGGCGAGTTATTTTTCTAGAATGAGCCACATCAGGGTCCCTCACACACTCCGTTCTAGCCAAACTAGCCTGATATCCCCTGAATTTCATATGCTTTTCCAGCCTAGGCAGCTTTGCCCAGGCTGTACTCTAAAGTACTTCTTTCTTGCCATTCTCACCCTCCTTATCTGGGTACCTATATCTCCCCATTAGAAGCTCTTTAATTAAAGGCAGAAACTTCATTTTTGCCTTTGTATTCCCAGAGCACCAGGCACACAGCAGGTATATAATAGATGTTTGTTGTAGACACGGTTTGGTGTAAGAGATAGACGGCCATCCCAGACTGAGGAAAACTTGGTTTGAAGGCCGCCTCCCAAGACAAGTCACTGAACTTGTCAGTATCCTCGGAACACTTTCTAAGACCTCAAGGTGCAGCACAAGATGCAGACCCCCATTGGTAGCAGCTCATTAGAGGCTGCCTACACTGATAAAATCAATGATCAAAGAAAGGGGGGAAGAACCCATATTTACAAAAATACTTAGAGCATCTGTTTGGGTGGCAAAGAATTGGAAATTGGGAGAATGTCCATCAATTGGAAAATGAATGGCTGAACCAGCTGTGGATATGAATGTGATGGAATACTACGGTGCCATAGGAAACAATGCAGAGGGAGTTTCCAGGGAAACCTGGGAACATGCATATGAAGAGATACACAGTGAAGTATGCAGAACCAGAACAACTTATACAATAACCAACAACTTTGAAAGAGGAAGGAACTCTGATTAATATGATGACCAACAATAATTCCAGAGTATTCATAATGAAGCATGCTTCCCACCTCCCGATAAAGGTGACTGACTCAAGGTGCAGACTGAGAAATACTTTGGGGGGGGGGGGATGTGGCCAATGCAGAAATTTGTTTTGCTTGATTATGTGTTTGTACAGGGTTTTGCTTTTCTTAGTTTCTCAATGGGTAAAGGGAGGGGAGAGAAGGGAGATGGGAAGGAATGAATACACACCTGAAAACAAAGTAGATCTCAATTTTATAAAAAAAAAAGAAACAAAGAAAATACAACTCCAGTTTAATTACGCATAGGGGGAATAGTGAGGCCTGGAGTCCCTTAAGAAATATTTAATCCAGGGAAGCTAAGGGGCAGCAGTGGATAGAGCACCGCCTTGGAGTCAGGAGGAACCGAGTTCAACTCTGACCTCAGACCAAACACTTGACACTTACTAGCTATGTGACCCTGGGCAAGTCACTTAAGCCCAATTGCCAAAAAAAAAAAAAAGGAAAGAAAAAAAAAGAAAAAAGAAAGAAATATTTAATCCTACTGAGGAGCATTTGGATGGGAGTTCTAGTTTATTGTGGATTTAATTCTGGCTCTGAGAATTGGAGCTTCAAACCTTCCGCATGCCTGACATCAATGAGCAGGATGTTTGATGGCTCAGTGTGCACTGGAACCACCCAGGACATCCTAGACAGAAAAACACTGCTGATTCACAGGCTTTCATAGATGGCATCTTTTTTTTTTTTTTTTTCAGAAAAAAATCAACAGTTTCATGTTTTATTATTTAGGTTTTCTTCATTCTTGAATGGTTATCACTGGGCCAGGTAGGTAAATATCCTACAAAGAATTTCATCTGCCATCCTCAGCTTGATTAATCAAGTCAGAAATAAACCTGAGACCTGAGACTGAGCTCCCTGGCTCCTGGCACCTCAGGGAGGGCTCTGTTCGCCACCAGCACTTCTGTAAAGGATGGGCTACGTGGAGGGTGGAGACAATAGAATGAGGGGGCTTCATCAGGAGACCTCTACAGTTCAAGTGAGGGATGATGAGGGTCTGACGAGGATAAAGCAGAATCCACAAGACTTCCCAACTGATGCGACATCAAAGTTGAAGGAAAGAGGAGTCAAGGATGAGTACAGGTTTGAAAGACTCAGGCAGCAGGTGCTGATGCCCTTAACACTAACAGTGAAAGTCCGGAGGGAGATGGGCTTATGGGAGGAAATAAAGAATTCTGGTTTGGACAGGTGGAGTTGGAAATGCCTTACAGGACACGAAATTCAAAGGATCCAAGAGGCAGTTAGTGATGCTGTATGCGAGCTCAGGGGAGAAGTGAAGGCTGGAATTATCCATTTGGGAATCATCTGCATAGAGACGTTCACCAAACTCATGAGAGGTGACATGAAGGGAGATGCTACAGAGGAAGTAGAGACATGGTCCCCTCATTGTGAAATGCCTATGGGGAGGGAGTTGGGACATGATCTAGCAAAAGAGATTCACAAGGAAGAATTGATAGGCAGGAGAAGAAACAGAGGAATGCAAGGGACAGTTATGCAAATCAACAGGTGCAAAAGTATGTGGGAGAAGTGGGTGGTCAACAAGAACTCCAGGTGGGGTCAAGAAGGAGGAGGACGGTTTACAGAAAACCATTACTCACAAACGAGATTTAGAAGAGTTAAACTTCAGAATTTAAACATTAGAATGGTGGAATTTTTTTTACAAGTGAGAAAAAAAATTTTTTTTTGTAAGACAGCCCTAGTTTTTCCTCAAAGACGCTGGTTTAAATAGTGGGTGATGATGGTGAAATGGTAAAGCCTAAAGGCTTCCAGCCAGCTAGTCCATCATGCATTCCAGCCCATCGGCATTTATTAAGCACCTCTTGTAACTCAACAGCTGCTAAGCTTGGATTCTCAAAGGCAACGGTGCCCTTCATTTGCATTTCTATCAGGTAGAGTCCGTGCATTCATAATTGCTCAGAATAACATTTTCAAAAGTTTAATGAATGCAAAAGTAACTTGTAGAGAAGTCAAAAGGACTGGGAAGAACATGTGAATAATAATCGCAGTAATCCTTGGGTATTAGTAGGCCAGTCACACTGCTGCTGCCTTCCAAAGGTGAACATAGAAAAACTCTTAGCTCAGGAAATTAAACCTGGGAGACGCAGGAAAGCAGACTTTACTTTGAGAAGGGAAAGTTGGTCAAAAGAAGCCATTCACGACTAACCGAATCCCATCCAATTCTTCCATGATCGCAGTCCTTAATGCTTAGAAAACTAGCTGTCAGCTGCCGGGGGTGGGAGCCACCATCGCAAGGCCATCTTTTTCAGCTTTGAAAAAGTGGGCTCGGGAAGGCAATCACAGCAAAGGTCACGTCTCAAGCTTATTGAATCAAATATCACTAAAGGTCAGGCCCGGATGAGCACTTGGAATGGAAAAAGGAGTGATACAGAAGGATGTCTGTGTGGGCCTGGCATCTGGGCCTTCAATTCGGGGATTAGATCCCTGTCAAGACCAACATGTTTGAAAGTCAACACAGGAAATATGAGTTGAAAACATGACAGATTGGGAGAAGGTTTGCTGCATTCTAATGCAACCAGTGGACTTTTCTTTTTATCACTGACACCCAAATATTCTTTTCTGAACATTTTTTTCAGTGAAGATTTATAAAACTTTCTACCTACTAAATCTCCCAAGTGGAAATAAAACTTTCCCCAATGCTTGTTTAGAAGCTTAACATTTTCGTTTTTGGTCTTGATCTACAATTTCATGAGAACAGGGAACTCTGTTGAGGTGAGAACTCTGTTGAGGTGAGAAAACTCCCTTCACCAATACACCATTTCTTGTAGTTTATACTCTAAGACAGTCCAAGAGGCTAAATGACTTTCCCTGGATCACATAACCAAGATGTGCTTGAGGTGAGACTTGAACTCAGGTCACCCTGACTTCCAGGGTAGCTCACAATAGTCCTGTAATATACAATCTATCAAATATCTATTAATCTAATAATATATATTATCTATCAATGTACATGTGTTCCTGCGTATCTGAAAAAAATTAGAAGAACTGAATTCAAGCACAAATAGATGACTTTTTAAAAACTGAAGGTCAGACTTTCTCACATAGACACACAAACACATGCATATATATTTCAAAGAATCTTGGAGCTGGAAGCCTATTGATAAGCACCTAAACTAGAATTCATCAGGTCCAACCTTTTCATGGGTTACAACTGACTCTTAATATATAATATTTCATTTTTCCCTAATTACACTTTAAAACAATTTGTAACCTTTTTTATAAGCTTTGAGTTCCAAATTCTATCCCTTCCTTCCTTCCTCCATCCCCTCCCCTCTCCCTGAGATGGTAAGCAGATGCACATTATACATGTGCAATCACATAAAACATTTCCATATTAGTCAGTCCAGTTAACTCTTAAAAGTCATTTTCTATACCAGGACCAGCCAACCAAAAGTTACAGCTTTAGAACTGGAAGGTATCTCAGAAGCCATCTGTTTAATTCATCTACCAACAAGCATTCATTAAGTGCCTACTATGCATATGGTACTAGGGCAGGGAGCTACGACTCCCCCAATGTCATACAGGTAAGAAGTAGCAGAGGCCCTCTGGTTCTAAATATCACACTCCTTCCCCTGCACCATTGTCTTCGTTCGAAAGTTTTTTGGAGAAAAATTTACCACGTCAATACAACATACTGGCTTGTGACAAACACTAGCTCCAACCCCAGGGTTTCTGCCACTCATTTCCGCACACACTTACCATGAGATATTGTCTTGCAAGACAAACTGACTCAATGGTGCCCTGGAGGTAGACAGTAGATTTCTTCTGTGGGTTATTGGGATCAGGAAAGTGGATCTGAGCACCAGTTCTCTGCATGATCTGTTTGACGTGGCTTCCGTTTCGACCCATCATAAAAAGATGGTGCTGAGTGGCGATGTCTAGCTGGGTACTCACAGGGATGGCAGATGCCAAGCTCCCTGCAAGATGCTCCAACAGCATGGCAGTTCCTTCCTAGGAGGAAACAGAGGAGGGAAAACAGTCTTATGACCAATCCACCCAAAGGGCCAGGCATGAGCCTAGAGAGCTTTGGGAATTCTGAAAATGGAACCTCTTTCGACGTTTACTGAAAACGTGTTTGTTAAGAAGCCTCTGAATGCTGGCATTCTTGTGATGGAAGGGATCCCCTTCACTTATTGTGTTATGAACCCCTTTCCTACCAACCCCTTCTCAAAATCACGTTTTTAAACACCTTAAGGAAATGCTCAATTTCAGTTAGAGATTAGTAAAAATAAGTATGTCTTTTTCTTTATCCCCCAAGCTCCTGGGTCCCCTGAAAACTACCTTAGGGTAGGGGAAGAACCCTTACCCTACACTACGTGATTTACCTTCACTGCATTGGAGTTGTTTTGGGACCCTCGAACAATGACGGTAGCACCATACATGCGGGAACGCTGCTTAAATGACACTGAAATGTTGTACGTTTGTGATATGTGCTGAAGAGTGGGTGAATTGGGATCTGGAATGGGCTGAAGAATGCCAGCGATGGGCAGCTCAAACATCAGGACCAAGGGAAGCAGCTCCTGGAGAGAGATCATGAGAATGCCAAGAAGAAAGTCACGGCTTCAGACGTGAGGAAGAAGGATGCAGCTGACGAATGCCTTCCTGAAGAGGGATTTCTTCAAATAGCTCTTATTTCCGTTGCAGAATTTGCTTAGGGTATGTAGTAGGGTCTCAACATAATACAATAGCCTCAACATCCTCAGTGTGCCATTAGAGGCAGATGACAAATGTAGGGGAGATGCTAAAAGTCTCCAATAATAAAATTATCTTTGTTGGAGGCATTTTATTTTTAAAAAACAAACAAATTCTTTCACCTAGCGCAGAATGAGACAGTGTCAGCGCAGGAGACAGTCCAGACACAAGGAGAGACACTCCCAGCTGGCTTAACCCAATTGCCAGCGGTTGGAGAAAAGTGGGCCCTGACAGGACTACTTTGCAACAGGACCCTAACGATAGCATTTTGGGACTAGACAAGGGAGTTGGGTTGACTCAGGCCACGGCACAGGAAGAACAATCTCTATACCAGCGGAGTGATTTTCCTCAAGTGCAAATCTGACTGTTTCATCTCCTCTGCCTACCCAATAAACCTCAGTGACTCCCTGTTACCTACAGGATCAAATATAAAATCACCTGTGTAGCGTCTGAAGCTCCTCCCTACCCACCCCCTCTATGTCCAGGCTTCCTACGGTTTAATCCTACCCGCATAGTCTACACTGGCCTGAACTCCATTAGCCACACAGAATTTCCAGACTCAGTGGTTTTGCACAGGTTGTACCCACGCCTAGAATCTCTCTCCCCACTTCTTTGTTCCAGCGTCCAGGCTTCCCCAAGGACTCAGCTCAAATATCACTCCTGCAATGGGCCTCTGGCCCTAGCCCTCTATTTCCACCAACTCCCTCTATGCCTTCCTTCTGAGAGGCCCTTTTATTTACACCATATAGAGCTTTTACATACGTAGCTGTTTGTATATCGTCTTCCCACTTAGCAAGTGGGCTCCTTCAGAGCAGGGATCACATTCTCATTTTTCTTTGTCCCTCCAGTGGCTAGAACAGGGCCTGTACCTTAATCAATCAGCAAGCATTTATTAAGCACCTACTATGTGCCAAGCACTGTGTTAACTACTGGAGATACAACACCTCCCAACTGAAAGATGGAGAACTAAGTGATGGACAAGGAGATAAAATGATTGCCCCCACTCCTTCAGCAAAGTCAGAACACTGGGGCAAAGCCCTGATCACCCTGTCCTAGTTATGGCTTTAGTTAATATATAAATCTGTGAAGACATTTGGAGGGGGGGAACGGTAACAATTTAGAAGGTGAATACAAAGAAGGCACCAAACCCGGACTTCCCAGTTCTTCCTTACTTACCATAGATGGCAGCAAATGATTTTGATGCAAAAAAAAAAATTACAATAGTGCCCTACTTCTTCTAATTCTAGTAATATTGACACTGACTTACATTATCATAAGTACATAAATAGTTACCCGAATTCTAACTCGGGCCGACTCAACGCCAGCTGGCTGTCCTGCAATAGACACCTGTGGAAATCAGAAAACAGACAGGTGAGCTTCTTTTAAACACGATAAAAGGCACACAGGCTTCTCCTGGATTCTCAGTGATTTGCATCTCCTCAGTGCCAGGGACAACTAACTCACAGAAGGACAGACCCCCACAACTGGCCTTCTTCACATCACAAGACCGCAAGGTCTTTGCACAGCATTTTGTGCTGGAAATGACTTCAGTCTCTCTTGGAGTTCAAACTCTTGATGGCCACAAGAGGCAAGCCTAGTCTTAACCACACCCCAGTGGGCTGGAAGGAGCCATCCAAAGATTCTCTCAGGACACTGACGAGAGGGGAGAACATTCACAATGTGACACTTTCTCTCTCAATTCATACCTAAGATCATACACTCCCTTCTCTTTCCACCCCAGGCAGCCCCTGTGATTGTTTGTGAAAATCAAAGGAGATAATAAATATGAGAAGGCTTTCACAGCTGTAATGTAAAAGCATTTACATACTGCTTTAAAGTGCATATTCTCAGAACGACCCTGGGAGGCAGGTCATGCAGGTATCACCATTCCCACAATGTAAATGGGAAAACGGAGGCTCAGAGTTCAAATAACTTGCAGACCTATGGTCACATAGCAGGTTGAGCTGCAAAAGCTGAACCTGAATCCAAGTCTGACTCACTGCACATCCAGCAAACCTCACATATCTCTTACTACCTAAATGTGAGGTATCATTGCTTGGTTATGCTCCTAGAGAGAGGCAGAAGGGAGTGATGGACATGGGGAGTCGGGAAACCTTAGCTTAAATTCCAACTTCTAACGCGTACTAACTATTCAACCTGGATCAAGTCATGTTATTTCCCTGAGCCTCAGTCTCCTCATCTGTACAACAGTGATAATAACACCTGTACTATTACTTCCTTTAGGACTCTATTCGAAGGCTCCAATGAGATGACATATAGAGAGAGTGCCTGGGATACCCTAAAATACTTAGAATTTCTTTGAAGGTAATGACAGGGAGGATGAGGATAACAAAGAAAATGGCTGCTATGACATTTTAAATTCTCTGTTGTTTTAACAGAGCACAAGTAGAAATGCCTTAAGGGTATACTTCAAAGTACCCAAGCATTTCTTACATACTTAAGTCACCAAAACAAAGCTAACGTTTTGCCTCAGAGACCAGCTCTCATCCTCACACCACTAAAGGACAGAGCCTGAAGGACCCTCAAGGCAATTTGCTCTAATCCTTTACTGGAATACCCACAGGACCGTCCAAACACAGCAGAAGAGACCAGATACATCTCTGGGATTTTTGGACTCCATTGAGAAAGAGTCTGAACCAGCTCTGTAAAATGCCTGACCTGACCAAGAAACATTTCCTGAACATTTCTATCTTCATGTCCCTTGACTATACTATGTATTTTCAGCTTCGTGTCCTTTCTTCCCCAGCCAAAAAAAACAAACAGCCATCATGCCCTCCCCAAAGCCCCATCAGCCATTCCTAGGACCACTGGCTGTCATGTCCTTCCTGCCTTTGACATTTTCCATTGAACTAAATGTGATTCTTTTTCTCTCTCCACGGACATCAGATTTTACAGGTTTTACATATTCTCATCTCTTGCCCTTCTTCAGCTCAAAAGAGGTTTGCGTGACATCACAAACATTGGCCGCCCTCCAAGAGTCCCAGGCAATGTTAGAGGAAATCACCTGGTTGCTTTTTTCTGCTTGGTTGTTTCTATTGGAATCTGGAAAGTGGATGTGACATCCCGTTTCCTCCATCACTTTTTTAATATTGTTCCCACCTTTGCCAATTACATGAGAATGCTCTGTGTGTGAAACATCCATCTTCAGGGTGACTCGGTTGCTCTATGTAGATACAATGGTATTAATCAACTTGAATACATTTTAAAAAACAGAAAATTATAGCTTTTTTGAAACTCCTTTTTTTCCCAATGGAAAGATAAGCAACAAGGGAACGAGCCCCAGTTCCTTGTTGGCTTTAGCATCTTAGCAAAAGTTCTAATGTCCAAAGAAACCCTTTCCAATCCCCATTTTTTCATTGTGCTATATATGCCCTATGGGGGATGGGCTGCAGGTGGGGAGGGATGCTCGTGCCAGGATCTCTCTTCCAGATAATTTCTTTGGGAAAGTAGGATTTTAAATGAGGTAGGTGACAATCATGGAGAAATGACACATTTTCCCCTTAGCAGATGTAGTGAGTGATTTAGTCCAAATAACTCGGGCCAGACAAAATTCCTGAACAAACTGCTTGGAAGATGTGCCTGACACTCTACAATATTTGGTCAATGTTAGAAAATTGGAGCTAAAAATAGAGCCCCCAAGTGGGAAACAAAGCAGGGGTCTGCTAAGGAGCTCATGAGAGCCGCCTGAACACTTCCATATGGATCTAGGTCACACTGGGAGAATGTATATATTTCAGGACTCTCTGATGAGGTGAAAGGAAGCGGGGGTGGAGAGGAAGAATGAAGAAAGGACAGAAAAAAGCAAGGGATCGAATGACCAATCAACTCTTACTATGTGCCAAGCCCCACACTAAGCTTTAAGGATACAAAGACCCAAGGGAAGCAGCCCCTGCCTTCAAGGACCTTACATTCCATCAGGGGAGACAATATGCGTGTGTTGGAATATGCAGAATAAATCCAAGGTAAGTTCTCTGGTTTTGCAGCAGCACCTGCTGGGGGAGAAGAGCAGAGAAATCCTCAAGGCGTAGGTGATGCTTGAGCTGGGGTTTGCAGGAATTATAAGGGCTTCAAAGAAGTGGGAGTGAGGAGAGGACTACACTCTAGGCATAGGGACAGTCGGGACAAAGGAAGGGGAAGAGGGAAGGGGGGGATGGGAAGAAGAAGTGAAGGAGGGGAAGGAAGGGAAAGAAAAAGGGAGGGAAGAAAGAAGAGAAGGAAGGAGAGAAAGGAGGGTGAGAAAGAAAGAATGCAATGAAAGAGGGAGGAAAGGAAGCAAGGGAAGGAAGGCAGGAAGATAAAAGTGGAAGGAGGGAGACAGAGGAAAGGAAAGGGAAGAGGAAGGGCAGAAGAGGACAGATAAGGGGCAAAACACAAGAGGAGAAAGGGAAGGAGAGAGGAAGGAAAGAGAATGGGAAATAAGAGAAGAGGAAGAAAAAAAAGGAGTATAAGGGGATGGGGAACACATCCCAGAAAAGAAGGAAGGGAGGAAAAGGCATGAAGGGAAGGGGGAAGAGGGAGAGAGGAGTAAGAGAAAGGAGGAAAGAAAGCAGTGAAGGGAAAGAAGGAAGAGGCAAATAAGGAGAGCCCATACGGAGGATGTAACACTACAAACACCACATGGGTTTAAACAATAATGAGAGCTAAATTACTGACATCAAGATCAAAATTTAAAATCAAAGACCTAAGACGGAGAAAATGACGGAGTCTCATCTTAAGAGACTGTCAATCCACCCACTATAGATAATAAATGATACAAAATGGAAAACAATACAGCTAGCTCATCTATCTTTGGTCACATAAGAGTATCAAAATATTTATTCTTGAATCATGCAGTCTTTCACAGACTAAATAAAAACGCCCAAATACTGTGAAGCCTTAAGAAAAAAAAAACCCACAGACTTCTCCATAAACTTCCTGACTTCTGGGAGTTTGAACCTGATCCCATTAAAAAATTAACACAAATCACCTGGACCCCTGGCACCACCTCTGAGCTCCTCAGCCCTGGAGCTCTCTCCCCCAACCACAACCTCCCCTGTTCCCGACCCTTCTAGTCTCTTGTCCCTCCTAAATCTGCCTTCCTCTTCAGGAAGGCCTCCAGACCAGCATCCTCCTTCTTAGCCACTGGCTCCCTCCAGCTGCTCTTGGTCCCATGCCTAGTCTGGGTTCTAAAGCCAATCACCTTCATGTGCTCATCACCACCCTAGAATCTCTTACCCTCTTGAATGTATTATTTGTTATTGATTATCAATGATTATTATTGATTCATTATTGATTTTCCACCACTTCCAGCCTGCCTGAAAATTCCCATTGTATCACTGCATCAATCTACACGCATCAGCGGATCATCCATACATATTGCTGGACCATCTATGTGTATCATTGGACCACATCTCCATGTATCAAAGGACCATCCACGTGCATCACTGGACCATCCACACACTGGACCATCTACATTCTCTGTTCCTTCGATGCTAGGAGCTCCCAGATAACAACACGAAGTCCTCATTCATTTTACTCAGTATAAAGTCACGCTACCTAACCTCAGTGGTCGACTCCTGTTCACCAATCCTTTTACTCATCTCTCTCTTTTTTTGTTCTGGACCTGAAGTCCCATCAGTACGAGGTTTTCCTCCCATAGCCTTTGAGGGTTGTCTGAGGGCCCTAAGAGGTTAAGTAGCAGATACATGTCCACACAGCTAGGACGTGTCAGGGGCAGGACCTGATCCCACGTCTTCCTACTCTGAGGACTGGATCTCACATCCACTATGCCACTCAGCCTCTCTATTCCTCTCCCAATGATTCTCTTTGGCATTACTTCCAGCAATTGTTTCAAATCTTGCCCAATCCTTCTCAAACTACCAAGCCTCCTCTCACCCCAGCAGATGACCCTGCTTCCCACTCTGAGATCCAAGTCATTGGACATAAATTCTTGCATAGGAGTCTTTATAAGTCTTTCCTCTATTACACACCCCCAGACTTCTGCACATTTGCCTATTCATTCTTTCTCACCTCCTGTTTTCCAGTTGAAGAGACGTCTCTCCTTTCCTAAGGCTGATTCTCACCACCACCATGCACACAACCCCATACCCTTGGCCCCAGTGCTACACCATCAATGATAGGGCACTCCCTCTCCCACTGCTCTCCAGTCTTCTCACAACCCTATCATGTTGCCTCCTGCAAGGTCAAGTGGATGAAGGGGATTAGTAGGAAATAAGGCTGGAAAGGTGGTTTGTAGCCAGACTGAGGGCCTTAAATGCCAGAATGAGGAAGCCAACAGGGAGCCATTGAAGGGGGAGCAAGCTGATCAGATCAGTGCATGAGGAGGAGGATTTGGCAGTTGGGGGTGGGGTGGATTAGACAAAGCAAAGATTGGAGTCATGGAGGTCAGTTCAGGGGCTTGTACTTGGACTGAAAGTGAGGGGACAAAGGTGAGTGACCAGAACCTGGTAACTGACAAGATGTCCAGGCTGAGGGAAGGAAAAGATCAAAGGCGATGGCTCTGAGGGCTTGAGTCTGGGTTACGAGGATGATGGTGACCTCATTCAGTTTGGGATAGTTTAAGCTTGAGGTTTAGAATTCAAGTGGAACTATCCAGAAGACAGTCAGAGATGCAAAAACAGCTGAGATAGATGGGGCTAGAGGTACTGGTCTATTACCAGTGTGACCCTGGGGAAATCACTTCATGTCCTGGGCCTCAGTTTCCTCAGTAAAATGCTGAGGTTGGCCTTTGACGCCCCTTCCAACTCTCGAGCTATGCCCTTCTATCAAAAAAGTCATCTCACAGAAGACACTTGATTTCTCCCTGGCAAGAAGCCACACGACAGGCTGTGGCCTAGTGAATACATTTCTGGACTTGGAGTCATAATGAAGAGGGTTCAAATCCTGCCACTGTACGATCAAGTCCTTCATCTCGCTAACCCTCAGCCTGCTCGGCCATGAAATGGAAATAAGAATAGCAGAAGTGCGGAGTTGTACACCTCGAAGGAGCTTGTGCTTTGCACCCTCAGCCAGTGTCCCTAGAGGAGGCATATCCTTTAAAACACGTCTCTTTTTTCTGATTTGTCCTCCTCACACATTTTCCCCCAAAGGCAAATGAAGTAGTCCCAAAGAAGACACTTTCTCCCCCCAGAGTCATATCGACACACTGACTTACTTTGGTGTCCAAGACAGACATTATCTTTTCTTTGGCTTCCTTAACATTCTCCTTCTTTCCAGAGACCTTAATATGAGGATCTACAAGAAAAAGAAAATGACACATGAGAAAACCCCCAACTCTTGCATTCCGCTTGTTTTACCAAGTTTTACTGATGCCCTTTGTTTTTGCAGTCTTTGTTTCCTCACTCCCACCCCAACCCCACCCCCACCCCCGCCTCAATCCCACTTTGTACCAAAGGAAAACAACTAAGGAAAACAAATCCCCTGAGAGGAGAGAATTCTGTTCCATCGTCCACTCCCCTTGACCAAGATGGCGTTAATCAGAGTTCTGGCTCTAAACTAATCAGTAACAATCGAACACAGGCATTTCAAATTCAAGCAAACCACTCTTCACAAGGTTGTGACAAGTCAAATCCCTGCTGCATGCAACAGGAACTTGGCTGGCCCCCTAATGACCCTCTTCTCTATCACTAATTTCTCCCCATTCTGGGAAGTCACCAAATCATTTTACTTTCATTTGGTGTCCACATAAAATAGTCACATGAAATACACAAATACCATGAGACTATCAAGTCAAGTTGGACGTCAACAGGGCTTAACTTTCTTAGGCCAAAGGTTCAGGTGAGTTAGTGGTCAACACACTGGTAATGGTGGAAAGCCAACATTCTAAGTTGGAGTCATTATAACCCTAAAAATGGCTCCAACCTTCATTTTGATGCTTTAAGAATTGGCATCTTGATCGTTGAGGTTACTTCTAACACCGATGGAGATTCCACCCCATCCTCTAGGACAGAGGTTCTTAATAGTCACAGGACCCTCTGTCACTCAGTGGCACTTTGTCTCCTCCTGGCTGTGTTTCTGATTCTCTTGACTTTGCCCCCATGTCTCTCCTGCCATCTCACCCTGAAACGTCCTCCTGAGCCTGGAGCCTCCTGACTGAACATCTATCCACCAAGACGTCATTACTCCGGAACATCCATCCTCCCCTGCGGCCTTCTCACTCTGGAACATCCCTCCACCATGCCAGTTCTCTTCTACCATTGGTGAGTTCCTCTCAGGGTCTCCATTTCAGGAAGGGGCCTTTGTTCCCATCGGGGCTCTGCTTCTGACTTTCCAGCTTTTGACACCATGCCCCCTTTGTGGGCACCTTCCCCTTCCTCATCCTTTTCATCTCCCTTTTGTGTACTGTCCTGTTGTCTGCCTTCATTAAAATATAAACTCCTTGAGAACAGGGACCATCTTTCTTTTAGTTTGCTCAGGAAGTGTTGAATAAATGTCTGTTGCTTTGCCTTGGTTGCCTGGTGAAGTCTACAGAACACTTCTCAGAATCATGCTTTTAAATAACTGAAGGAATCAAATTTCAGGCAGAGATAAGTGAAAATAAGATGTGAGTTTTTCCCTCCAAATGCATAAACACCCTGAAATCTACCCCTGGATCTCAGTTCAGGACCCACTTCCCTAAGAGATGGTCTCTACAGTTAAAAAGTACATCACCCTTCAGTCCACCTGGTGTTGAACCACTCTACTCTGGGCCAGGTTATGCCTCAGATGACAGACATTTAATTCAACACAAGGCCTATAGCAGAAGTCTCCACAACTTGGTTGGGTCCGCCCGACCCTGTGTTCCATTGGGCATTGCTCCTGAAGACCCCAGATCATCTCTGTGCCACATGGCAAATGGTCTTGGTTGCAAAGGGGGACTGGTTTGAGATTTGAGTTTGTGTGTGTGTGAGTGTGAGTGTGTGTGTGTGTGTGTGTATGTGTGCTTTAATATCTTAGAATTGTCATTCTCTGGTTAACATGTAGGGAGAGTACAATACCCCTTAACAGTAGGGGTGTGGGGGTGTGTGTGTGTGTGTGTGTGTGTGTGTGTGTGTGTGTGCTGAAGATGTATGATTTCACTGGGGGGAGGGACTCCCAATATGAGAACTCCTCCAGTCTGACTTAGTAGCTAAGTCTTAAGAGAACAGTCTAAGGCACTGAGCGGTTGATTACTTGATCAGAGTCAGACAGCTGGTAAGGACCACATGCGAAACTTAATCCGAGGTTTTCCTGATTTCTAAGTCCACCAGCCTGTGGCATGTTTTCTTACATAAGAATAGATGGGAGACCCAGAGAGAAATGTATCCACACACATATGTGTGTAAGGATGACAGGATTATGGCTCTACAAGGGACATCAGTGATCATCTAGACCAACACTCTCCCTGGAGGCAATGCAAGAAGCCTCCTATACACAACGAGCACATCCATGTTCATCCTAACAACAGCTTTTACCCAGACCAAGGCTGACACAGTAAAGGTGGCCAAGGTCAACCACTGCTCTTTTAAACCAATGGTTTCCAAATCTTCTAGTCAATCAGTCAGCCAGTGAACAAACCTTATGAAGCCCTTCCTACATGCCAGGCCCCATGTTAAGGGCTGGTGATACAAAGAAAGGTAAAGAGACCCAGCTCGGGAGGGGCTCCCATCCTTTGCATCCTTCCACCCAAACCCAGGCCATGCTCTAAGCCAACAGCCAACATGGGCAAGGAAGGGGAGACTGATTGAGAGATCAGCCTGGGAAGTCTCCTGGTCCCCTGCCATGAAGACACAGTGAGGGTATCTCCAGACGACGTCATGCCTCCAGAGGCAGGTCAGAAATGGACACACCTAAGCTCACCCAGGCAATAAGGAGCAGCTGAAGGAGACTCTACCAAGGCAAAATGGTCATACGAGCAGAGCCCCGGTCTGCGTAGGTCTTTCAATGCCCTTCTCTCTCCACTTACCCACCAACTTAACATTTATGTTATATATATGCAAATATATGCAAATAAATGAGTAAGGAGCTCATGAAGATACGAATATGAATAAAACATATGCCCACATGGAGGAGGAGTAGAGCAACAGGGAAAGAGAAGCAAAATCTTAATTATGACATTTCAGGTAACTCCAGAGTTTAATGAACTACCTCAAAGGCTTTTTCAAAGATGGTCTCTCTGGAAAAACTGACGGGTAGGTAAGAAGAGAAACAGACAGTCACAGAAAGAGGGCAGTATGTGTGTGCATGTGTATACATAAGTATACATACATATATATGTATATATATATATATATATATACATATACACATGCACACACATACTCAAATACACATATAAGACAACATAAGAAACCTCATGTGAACACTGGACAGGTCTGGCAAAGGCTCTCACTTCAAGACCCTCCTCGGAGACTGGTCCCGGGGTGTTTTAGGGCAAAGAGAAACAGAATAAGAGTCAGTAGACTGAAATTCTAGTCCAGGCCCTACCCTTGGCCTTGTGAGTGACTTTAGGCAAGTCATTGTCTCAGTTTCCACACCTGTAAAATGAAAATGAAGGGCAGCTAGGTGGTGCACTGAATAGAACACTGAATCTGGAGTCAGAAAGACCTGAGTTCAAATCTGGCCTCAGACACTTACTAGCTCTGTGACCCTGGGCGAGTCACTTAGCCCTGTTTGCCTCAGTTTCCTCATCTGTAAAAATGAGTTGGAGAAGGCAGTGGCAAACCCCTCTAGTATCTCTGCCAAGAAAACCCCAGATGGGGTCACAGATAGGCAGACACAGCTCAAACAACCGAACAACAACAACAAAATGAGAATGGCACCATTCATCCACCAGACACTTGTGAAGCAGCCCCTCTGCGCCAGGAGCTCCTGCCCTCACAGGGCTTACATTCTACTGGGATCGTGCCATCTGCTCTAGCCACTTCTCAGAGACCCTGAGAAAATCAAATGAGCCGAATATGACAAAGCACCGTGCAAAGCAGAAGCGCCCTGGCCTCGGGAGCTTGCCAAACGTCCACTCCTGCATGATCTGACTGTTTCGTGCCTGGTCCATACAAAGCAAAGATCTGTGTCGAACCTTACAGCTCCCTTCAGCTCCCCCAAGAATTGTCTGCAAGACACTGACAAAACGTGTGGTTTGTCCTTCACTATAGGTTTCCACTGGCAGTGGATGTAAACATCCGTATTGCACTGGAGAGAGTCCCAAGCTGCCCTCAGGCGGCCCTTCAACTCTGGTTAAAAATTATGGGCAGCTGGCCCCATGGGAACCCGCCGCTCCAGTCCAGGAGAGCTGACAGCGGACGTGTCCTCGGGGGCTACAGATCTCCTTCCTCTAACTGTCTGCATCCAGACGATACAAGGTTGCACGTCCAGGAGGCATCTACAGGCTGGAATCGCTGGGCTTTCCAATCCCTCAGTGCCTTCAGAACGCAGCTTAAAGACCACCTGCTCATCTCCAGTGCCATCCCCCTCAAAACTGTGGAGTATTTTTAAAAATCTATTTTATATTTGTGTGCATTCGTACATGTTTTCTCCAGGACAGAATGAGGACTGGGACAGTTTCATTTTTATATTTGCATTTTGTCTCCTCAGTGCTCAGCATAGTGCTCGCTGGATGACTGACTAGCTTACAGCCAGAAGGGAATCACAGATCTTTTAACATAAATTGCTAATTTCACAGATGGGGAAACTGAAGCCCTGAAAAAAAAGAACATACTTAGGAAGCCAGGTGGTACAATGGATAGAGCCTAGAGTCAGAAAGACCCTAGTTCAAATCCACCTTCAATCACTTACTAGTTGTGTGACACTAGGCAAGTCACTTAACCTCTGCCTCAGTTTCTTCTATTGTAGAATGGAGACAGTAACAGCACCTACCTCCCAAGGTTGTTGTGAGGATCAACTGAGACGATATTTGTAAAGCCCTTGGCATGGGAACTGGCACGGGAACTGGCACATAGCGGTGTCGTTCAGTCCTTTTTTGGTCATGTCTGACTTCTTGGCAGAGATGCTGGAGTGGTTTGCCATTTCCTTCTCTGACTCATTTAACAGATGAGGAAACTGAGGCAAACCAGGTGAAGTGACTTGCCCAGGGTCACACAGCTAGTAAGTGTCTGAGGCCAGATTTGAACTCAGGAAGATGGGTCTTCCTACCTCCAAGCCCAGCACTCTATCCACTGCACCACCTAGTGCAAATTTATTATTACTATTTTTATTATAATATCACTTTCTGCATCCGTTTCCTCATCTGTAAAGTGGGAATAAGAACAGCACCGGCC